GAAGCTAGCATCCCTTCCTCTGAGTGGCCACAGCCTGAGGGCATTACTCCAGGAGAACTGCAGCCCCAACTCGCCCCCAAAGCCCACCCCGCATGGCCTGACGCAGGGGTCTGCTTCGGCCCACCCCCCGGGGGCCATGCTGATGCTGAAGGTGCGCGCTCGGAGTGAGGGCTAACACGAGTGCGTTACCACCCAGGACGGTCTGGGCACTGCGCTCAGTGGAGGACAAGGGGCATGAGAAACCCTTCAGGGAGTCTGTTTCTCCAAGTCCTAAAATCCCTGTCTCATTTCACGAAAAAAAACCCAAGCATGGCTGCCCCGCAGAAGGAGAGTCACTTCTGATTTGGAGGAGATCCCGAAAACAATGGTTTCCAAATACTCCCGACCATGTACCCCTATTGACAACATACACGTAAGTTAAACACCATGACCAAGTGGGATTTATCCAGGAGTACGAGGTTGGTTTAACATTCAGAAATCAACCAACGAGAGCCACCTGGGTGGCTCAGTCGGTTAAGCATCTGACTTCAGCTCAGGTCATGATCTCAGGATCATGGGATCGAGTCCTGCTCAGTGGGGAGCCTGCTTCTCCCTCTCCCCCCCACTCGTGCTATCTCAAAAAAGTTAATTAAAAAAAAAAAACAAGTAAATAACTCAATGCACAAATAAATTCTCAGCAAACACAGGAGGGAAGGGAACGTGCCGGCCTGATCATCGCAGCCGGGCACGAGGGAGCCGGGCAGGGCGGTGGCCGGCAGAGCCCTCTGCGTCCCCCGATGCTCACTGAGCTGCAGGCCTGCAGGGGTGGATCACACCTCAGGAGAGCTGCACGATGCAACCGCACACCGGCCATCGAGCGCAGGGCAGAGAGCCGAGCGGCCAGGCAGCCACACACAGAAGGGAGCAAAACAATCCTCACACTGGACACCGAGTCCTGGCATATGACACATCTGCCTGCCCAGATGAGAGGTCTGCTTACTCGTTCCCCTTTTCCTCCAAGCAAAGAAGTTTCCAGACCAAATAAGGCTGCAGCTTTTGCAATGCTCCTGGCACACACCATAGTTCCTTTTAAGTGCCAGGTTATAACTCGGGCCTAAAACGTCCCAAAGCAGCATGGTGCCCGTCAGCCCACTGGTCCCTCTGGGTAACGATCCAAACCACCCGGGGAAACAGAGCAGGGCTGGCCCGGCGGCTGTCCTTGGCCCACCGGCAGGGGGTGAGGGTGAGTCCCGCTGCCCCCAAGGAAGCCTGGCGTGCCCACGCGAAGCTGTACCAGCAACCCCGGCTGGCAGCTGACTGGCTCCTGGGGCCCCGGGCGCCCTCCCCTAGGACTGGAGCAGGAAAGGCTGTGTGTCAAACCCGCACGAGGCGCCCCTCCTAATGTCTGCAGCTTTGCGGACATTCCCCGAACACGGAAGCACCAGGCATGGTTTCGGGGGCCCTGTGACCTTAAAGCATTTCACCTGCACAGCTACGCTGGGAGACAGGTCCTGTTATTTACCCACTTTACAGATGGGGAAATGGAGGCACGAGTCATGCAGCCCATATGGGGTGAATCTTGAAGGAACCCCCGGGGCTGACACGGCCCAAGCTGGGGCTCTATCCTGTGCCATACTGTCCCCTAACCCCAAAAGAAGAAAAGACAGGGCTCCCCGCTCAGTGCCCACCCGGACGGGAATCCTCAGCCCCGGGCGGCTCCCCGAGAAAAGGCTGCGGCCTGCAGGTTGCCGGCAAGACCACCCTCACTGCCTGGGAAGATGTTTGGCTTGGCACATTTTTTTTCCCCTTTTTTGGGGCCACCCTGTCCAGGCCAAATGCAGGACATTTTTCAAGCAACCAGTTACACACACTGTCCTAACAAGGTCTCTCTGGGACGAGAAACGGAAACTTTTTGTGCTGCAACCATCAACTCTGACATTTTAACGATGCGTCAAAACCAGCCTGCATGGAAGTCGGTGGGGGAGGGTGAAGGCTCCGTGCAGGGGCAGGTGGGCGCGGCGGCCAGAGCAAAGCCCATGCCGGGCGCTGCCGCAGAACCTGCTAACCCAGACCCAGGGCGTAGAACACACGCGACGCTGCCCACGGGTCATTCCGTGGACGTGTCTGCACAGCTGGTGAGGGGAAGACTGTTCTCAACCCCGTCACCAAGGAGCTGACGAGCTCAGGGAGGCGGGCACTGGCTGAAGCCCCGTTCCATGGAGAGAGCATGCCCACGCAGGGCCTTCTGATTCCGGAGGCCTCCGGCCACCCCAGCCCATGCTGCGTTGTCTTCCTTCCCCTACTTCAAGCTCTTCCTGGCAACATGGCCCATGGGAAGAGCACGTGGATGAAGGTGCAGGACCTGCTCCTTCTCTAATGAGCAGAGGTGTCCTGATTCGGTACTGCCTCCATGCTGGGACTGGGTATGCCCAGTGGACCAGCAAAGATCATTCTAGCTGCAAGTGACAGAAACCCAAGGCAGACTTTCTTCAGCTAAAAAAAAAAGGACACTACTTCAGGACGCTGGGAAGAAGGGCATAGGGATCAGGTGTGGCTGGATCCAGGTGCTCAAACAATGTGATTGTTATTTCCCTACCCCTAGTTTTGGCTGTTTCTGTGTTGGCCTCCTTCCCTCCTACAGACAGGCTTCTTCTCTGCCAGCTACTCTCAGTAAAAAGAGGCAACATCTTTACATCAGCATGCGTGTGTGGACCCCAGGCTAGAACCTTGATGGGCCCTGTTTGGACTCTGGCCCATCCCTGAACCAGGCCTTGCTGTGGCCAGAGGATCAGAGCTTATTACCACAAAGACAGGGAGAAAAAGCAAGCAAGCTCAGCATGCAAGACGGCTGCCACTGTATCCCTCAACAGTGGTGAGTCACTGCTTTGTGTGCACAGATCTCATCACCTCGCGGCCTTGTTTACCACCAGCCACAGGCTGCTGGGGGCAGTGAGAACAGCAGCTGGCCATCGGGACGCTCTGCGTGATTCCTGCAGGCAGCAGGACCCCCGGCGCCGACACGAACCAGTGGACTGCGTGTGGCCCTCACACACACTGCCGTGGGGTCCCCACCACCTCCCCTTCCTGCACAATTCAGTCCTAGAGCCAGCTGACAGGAGCAAGGAAGGCGTCCACGTAAGGGGAAGGTGGGGGGCCACGGTGGTAGAGAGGACATCCACGCTGGTAAGGGGAACGGGCTGTCCCTGGGAGAGGGTGGCCCAGCGCTGGCGAAAGCAGAGCGGTCCAAGTGCGTGGGCCTGGAGCCGAAGACACAGTCAACAAACGTGCAGAATAAACGGCACTTGGGGGCCAGCTGCAGAAGGATAAGACAGAGGAGGCTCCTAAGGACAACACAGACATCTTTTCTTTTTTTTTTTTTTGTTAAGGATTTTATTTGTCAGATGGAGAGAGAAAACACAAGCAGGTGGAGCGGCAGGCAGAGGGGAAGCAGACTCCCCACTGAGCAGGGAGCCCGATGGGAGCTCGATCCCAGGACCCCGGGACCATGATCTGAGCCGAAGGCAGACGCCCAACTGACTGAGCCACCCAGGCGCCCCAGGACAGCACAGACATCTTGAATGCCTGGTCAGGGAGGCTGCGGTCACAGGGACACGAATGGCGTTTAGGGTCAGCAGGTGCAAGGTCTGTGTGAAGGGGTCTGGTGGCGGGGGGGAGGGCAGAGGACATTCCAAGTGGGCCGAGAGCGGGTGGTCAGACCCGGGGCCGCGGACGTGAGGGGAGGCAGCCCCCAGGGAGGCGTCGTCTGTGCCACCTGCCTCTTTCTTCCTGGGGCAGCAGCCTCGCTCCCACCACCTCTCCACAGAGGCAGGCTGGTTTGTACCAGCTTACAACTCCAGCCTTCCCGATTTCAAACTTTCCTTCTAACTGGTAGAAGAGCCAAGGATTTTTTCCCTCCCCTCTGGCATCTGTCAACAGGGACAAGGCCCCCACAGGGGCCCTGCACGCCCACCTCCTTGCTCCGAGTGCTGCCAGCACCTTCCGGATGCCCAGCGCTCGGAGCAAACGTGGGCTCGCCCTGAGCCCCAGGACACTCCAGGAAAGGGACAGGGAGCAGGAAGGGGGAAGCGCGTTCACCGTAGACACATAACCACACCACGGGCGGTGTGCACAGATCTTTATTTTACTCTTTAATTCATAGCCCACTTAAACAAACAAAACTCTGAGACTAAACTGTGACATCGCCTGAGGTTCTCCCCACTACAGCAGCCGGCAGAGAACGCTGGAGAACACCCGTGGGAGGGCTCGGCTTTGTGTTGGCCGCGCCGCCGCCCTGCGACAGCTCTTTCCTGCGACCGCCACCCGCGAAGGGCTCACTCGGGCCGGGCACCTCCAGACCGAGCAGGAGCAGCCTGAGCTGTGTCTGCCGCCCTGCACGACCAGGACGGGTCACGGCAGCCGGCAGGGAACAGGGCACAGACGGAAACCGGCCTCGGTGAAGTCAGCTGCGTGCGGACACACGGGAGAGGCACCCGGCGTTCTCAGACGCGTGATCTGACTTTTCAGGTGCTCTCCCTCCTCTGGTGGCCTGAAAGCTGGCCGGCCCCCAACGGTGGGAATTTCCTTGTACGAAGCTTGAGGGGGCACTGGGCTGGGGCAGTCTGAGGGAGACCCTCACAGCAACACCCCCCAAGGTTCAGATGCTGGGATTTCGGTTCTGACTGGGAAGGAAGGAAGAGACTGGGAAATGGTCCAGGGCAGAAGAGGGACGGGACCTGCCCGGACCGACCCACACCAAGCCCAGAGAGGGGGCCATGTGGCAATGACCGCATGCCCCAGGCACCCTCCTCCAAGAGCTGTCAGGTTAGAAGAGCTCATCTCCAGGGTCCAAAACCTCACCCTTCCTCCCACAGACACCGTGCCCCACCCGGCTCTGGTACAGGCAGGTGGGCCAGGCTGCACACCGTCACGGGGAGCAGCTACAAGAAAGCAGAAAGCAGCCCTGCTCGCCCTCACAGGTTTTTTTCAGACAGAAGCTCTGGAGCTGCGTGTGAAGAGCTCACCCGTCACTTCTCCTTCTCCTTCCGTTTACTCTTCCTCTGGCTGGTCAGCTCATCCAGCTTCTTACCCAGCCTCCTCTGGAGCTGGGCCCTCTTGGCTGGGTCCAGGGACCTGTCCTTGGTCCCACTGCCGGCGTAGAGGACTCCGTCCCGGCTGATTCTCTGCCGGGCGTGGGCACGAGCCCTCTCCCCACAGCCATGGATCTGGGGGGACACAGCAGTCAGTGCCGAGCCAAACGGGGACAAAGGCCCTGCAATGCTGCCCATCGCAGAGCTCGGGGACCACGAAGCCCCAGCACAAGGTCTTGGAGGGGCTCCCTACTCCTCCTGCAGCCGGACCCGGTCCTCACCAACAGGCTGCCGGGGTGGGGGGCACGAGGGCACAACCACACCCCTGCCCTCAGCTCAGCCCGAACCGTCCTCTGCACACATGGTGGTGCAGGGCCAGATCCCCACACCCTCCCTGATGCGGGGTGATGCGCACACACCCAGGGCCCCCGGCAGCGGCGTCTGAACATCAACACGTTGGCGACGTGCCCTGCAGCCACGCTGCCCTTCCGTGAGCACGCGGCCCAAGTACAACCACTGTCCCCTCTGGGCCAAAAGCGGCGCTCTTCAATCTGCCCCCAACGCTAGGCCTGTGGTGGGAGCTCCGCAACGAGCCCGACCCGATGGAGTGCCCCCGTGTTTCCAGGAAGCTCTCACGTAACTCCTTCCGTTTTTGAAAGGACAGGAAGAAAGACGGAAGGAAACCTCCGAGCCTGCCCAGTGCCCAGCACTACAACCAGTGTGTGTCCCGGGTCCTGTCTAGAAAGCCCATGCTAACCCACTGCACAGACCAAGGCTGTTCCCTTGGGAATTGCCGGGTGGGGCCCAGTTTGGACCTCACTCATCGGCGCCCCCAGCCCTGTGCGCAGCTCACCGAGACCCCTGCGGCCGGCCACCCGCGCAGTGCCTGTCCTCCCCCCACGGGGTGTCCTCACCCTCGCCCCTCTGGGCGGCCCCAGGCCCACAGGCTGCCTGCCACAGCTCTCCCAGAGACAGCCGGGTGGCGCCAACCTCTCCACGTGGCCCAGGATCCCACACCCAGTGTCCCCCACTCCTCGCCGCACCCAGGTCAGGGGGCGAGGGCTGAGGCACACTGCTCACTGCACGTGTGGGAAGAGCGGCTCGGGCTGAGGCCGAGTTCGTTTGCCCATGTCGCAAGGGGGCAGGTGACAGGGCTGGTGCTTGCGGCCCAGTCCCCGCCGCCCAGCTCTTGCCATTTCTGCAGAGCCTCAGCCCACAGCACGTCTCTGAGCAGGGGGACTTGTGGCCCTGCCCGCAGCCAGCACCTCTCATCAGACGGGACACGGTGCCGGTGCTCCCCGCGGCACTTCCGGCCACATGGGGAACATGTGCTCCCGGGGGCCGGCAGCTGCTCCTGCAGCGGGAGCTGCCCAGGGTCTGGCACCTCCCTCCGCCCCGCACCAGGGACCCACAGGCTGCGCCGGTAACGCAAGCTGCTCGCCCAAACCTCGCACCTGACGACGTCTAAACGTCCTAGATAAACAGCTTTCCCGAACACCACACGCTTTGTCAACGGGCACGAATACAAACTGTGCACACACGGGCGTGTGTCAGGAGGGAAAGTGTGTGCACGCGTGCAAGGGCGAGGGAGAGGAGCCCCTGCCCAGGAGGAGGCCCTCTCTAGGTTAAGAGGTGGCAAAGCTCCCTGTTGGCAAGCAGCTCCACCCGCTAACCCAGAGTGGGACGCCACCAGCACCCCCGTGCAGCTCGTCCAGGATGGTGACAGCCCAGGCACCACATGCCCTCCCCCACACCTGCCCCTCCCACCCTCCTCCGAGAGCCCCACTGCCACGTCCCATCGGCCCAAACCAGAAACCCAAGGGCCCCTCTGGGTCCTCCTTCCCCTTTCCATCACGACCCACAACCCGTTCAGGGCCCCCAAGTGCCGTTTATTCTGCACGTTTGTTGACTGTGTCTTCGGCTCCAGGCCCACGTTCAGGGCCCAAGCCCGCTGCTCCATGCTCTTCACGACCCACCCCAGGCCCTCCCAGCCTCGCCCTGAGCCGTCCCTGTGCTGCAGGCAGGGCTCTGGCAACATGGTGGTGCCGAACCCTCAGGGCTCCCGCAGCCTCCGGAACCAGGGCTTGACTGCTCAGGGCGCAGGCTTCTCAGCCTCCACTCCACCCTGCCGCCTGCTCTGCTCCCAGCTGCACAAAGGCACCCCCTCCCTGGGGCCTTCACACATGCCCTCCCCAGCCCAGCCCCCACCCCCGCCGCCAGCTCGGCACCGGGTCCTCCCTCACCACGGTCAGCACGTGGCACCAGACGTGGCCTCATACCCAGGTCCCACAGGTCCTCACCCCCTGGGGCAGAGATGAAGCCTGCTCTGGCCCCCAGCTCCCCATGCCTGGCAGAGGAGATTCCCAACCAAATGGGCTCAAGAAATGAACGAAAATGGGCACCCAGCCCATTTCAGACCGCAGGCCGGAGGCCCCACCTCCCACCTCCCCTAGGCTAATCACTGACGGACCCCAAAGACACTGAACAAAATCCTCTCTGCCCAGAATTCCCACCAACTTGGTTGCAACCTGTAAGTGTGACGTTTTACTTCCTCACGCCCGGATGCCTCCAAAACAAAGCAGGGGTCCGTGTCTGTCCAGAAATGCCCAGTGCTCGCGGCCAGGCACCACTGGTGCACATCGGAGCACATCTGCCCAGAGCCCTGCAGACACCGCCCCCCCACCGCCGTCTGAACCCCGGGAGGGGCCGCCGTACCTCGGGCAGGTGGTGGCTGAGGCAGAAACGGCGGCCGCAGTGCAGACAGAGCTGGCCCACAGTCACGACGCTGGCCGTGCACTTAGCGAGGCTGCACATGTTATCAGCCTTGATGGCGGCCGCGACCAGGGCCTCGAAGTCCTCCTCACCGGGCAAATCTACAGCCGCGTGTCCTAGCGGAAGAAAAGGGCCACTCAAACAGGGAAGAACACAGACGCCGGACTCACGGCTGCCCCACCGAGCTGCCGCGCCCAGCTTCCCGATTTCAGTTCACAGTCAACAGGCAGATGACCCTCGGTCATGCTCCGTGTCTGTCCAGCCTACAGCGGCCCTCCTTCAGCGAGCTAATAACCGGTCCCTGCCGGGCGGTGTGGGCCGCATGCGGACCTCCTAGAAGGGGCTGGCGGTGCACGGAAAGTGCCCCTGAAGAGCCCATCCTCTTTCATCAACAGAACATCTAAACACGACGATGTTCCTTACGACGTTAACCGTACCGGGGAAACGACAGCGTATTTGGATGAACCACAGCGTATTCGCAGATCACAATGTTAGGGGACCTCAGCGCTCCTGACCAGGTACGTAGAAATCTTTTGAAGTTATCAGAAAATGCTCACAAGCGGAAGAAAAACACGAGATCACGTGTAAGTGCAGTTCTGTGAAACACACACGTGTACCCCAAACACCTGTGCGTGGACGTGCGGGGAACACCGGGAAGGCATCCGCCAGGCAGCTGTCGCCAATGACCTGGGGCACGGACACAGATGAGACATGCCGGCGTGCGTTTTCCCTGAGTTAATTCTTCGTACTCGGCATGCTGCAGTGCCAGGCACCCGGGCCAGGACTGTCGGCTGTGGCGGGGACCCAGGGGCAACCGTGAGCTCAGCCCCACTGGCCTGCAGGCGCCTCAGTCGGCCACAGCCACGCCGGTCCCTCCATGCGGGTGCGACTCTGCCACGGTCCCCTGCAAATGGGGAGGTGCCCCTAGCCCGCCCCCCCCGACGGGCTGCAGAGCTGCTAGGCTCTGCTGCATTCACATGGGCCCCGAGGCAGGGGAGGACGGACGTGCTGAGGCCCAGGAGCGGTACCAGGAGGCTCGGACAAGGCTTGCCAAGGTGCTCGCTGCTCGCTGGCGTCTTCAGGAAACAGGACGCAGGGACCAGGCACGCAGCGTTCAGGCCCCAACCCAGAAACGAGATCTCACAGAGTCCTGAGCACTCATCCCACAGCACCTGTCGCTCCCCAACCCTCCCGAGTGGCAGGCAGCCCTTGATGCGTCCAGTGGCACCCTTCCCTGAGGGGCCTCCAGCCATGGCCCCGGGGCCTGCTCAGACTGGCTCTGCTTCTCAGGTGCGGGGACCTCGGCAGAGTCTGGGGACCAGCTGGACAGGTCACATTCGGAGCCTGAGGGGCAAGATGAATTCTGAAGGTGGCTGCTTGAATAAACACTTCAAAACTGAGCAGTGCTACCATGGCCTAAACAGGGCGAAGTCTCCCCAGGACCCTCTGTCCTCAAGTGAACACACCACACACCCCAGAAGGCAGGCCAGGTCCTCCCGTCAGTGTCCCAGCACCTGCCCTTCACAGTACTAACCTCCTCTCGGTGTGGTTTAGAAAGGCACGTGACATTTCTTCCCTCTGCCTCTACAGCCGCCCTGGAGAGCAGGGGTGATCTTACTCCCCAGCACAAAGCTGGGCACGTGGGAGCTACTCACTAAACCCCACACAATGAATCAGCTACAGCCTCAGGGCCCTGAAGCTGCTTTCTAGGACCAAGAGTCATGCCCGCGCAGCTTGGTCACAGGAACTCAACGAGAGAAAGAGGACGCGCCTGGCTGTGCGGTCCTCCTCGGAGAGCAACGACAGCTGGAGTAAGAGGCTACCCAGAGGCCTCCAGAAAACCCAGGTCTTCAGGCTCAGTGCCCGTGGATGCTCAATCACAGTGCAGGACGGGGGGCAGAGCAGAGAGCCCCACGGAGCACACAAGCGCGCAGCCGCCGCCACCGCGGAGGATGGGAGCCGGGACGCGGGCCAGCCGACCTGCGAGCCCACTCGGGTCCCAGCGGAACACGGATGAAGCCCAGCACGGAGGTCTGCGATTGCCCGCGGGCTCCTGTCCACTGTCCCCGTCTCCGCTTCCAGGCTCTTCCCCTGCAGTAGGTGCACCCCAAGGGCCTTCTACCTGCCAGGCCCTGCCTGAGGACCTGGGGACGCCAAGGTCACCGTGACCAATCACTGCCCTCAAGGAGCTCACACCCAACCAAGGCGCAAGATGCAGAATCAGGGCAGTGGCACGAAGTCCTGAACCTTTTCGAGGGTGACAAGCAGGCTTCAAGTGGGGCAAACACCCCAGTTCAGGGGACACCAGGCCCGCATTCCCATTAGATGAACCCACTTACCTTTTGCTTCTTTCTTCTTCTTCTTCTCTGCTAACGTGCGCGGCCCGGAGCACGAGGCCTGCTGCCCCTCCTTGGCCGGCCGCTCCCGCCTGCTCTTCTCCCTCTGCAGCCTTTCCAGGTGCAGGGCCTTCAGATTCAGGGGGTCCTGACTGCTCTGCTCCCCAAGAGGGGGCTTGCTCTGTGTGGGGCTGGGGCTGGGGGCCGTGGGCCCGGCAGGGGCTTGGCTTCCGGTCCCTGCTGGACGCTGTAGGGCTGGCGGGGCGGGCGGGGCTCTCTTGCTTACGGTGATGAACCTCTTCTTCCCTTCCCCAGTGCTGTCATGCCTCAGCCCATGCTCTTCGGCTATCTGGTGGATCCACATCCTGTCGTGGGAGTTCAGGGAAGCAGGAAACTCCAACTGGGTTTTCTCACTCGCCACAAACTCGGCGATCTTGGCCCTGAAGTGTTCTGCACGGTCTCCGCTCCCCGCTCCCTCTGGGCTGCCTCCGTTGAGCCTGGGCTGAGAAGGGACCTCAGGGCCCGAGGGCTGCCCACCCGGCCTCCTCCGCTCCAGCCCCTCAGCTGCTCTGGCCTCCTGGGCCCCCTCCCGCGGCTGGCCCCCAGGAGGCTTCCTGGCCAACGCCGCAGAGCCGTGGGGCTTCGCGCCAGCTCGGCCGTGGCCCTGGGAACTCTTGTGGGAGTAGTTTTCAGGGACGATGTCGTCAAGATACTCGAAGGCCGTGCGCACTGCCCCGTGCTCCGCGAAGTGATCCACCAGGGTCTTCAAGAAGGTGTGCTTGCTAACGGTGTGAGAATCACACACGACCGCCACGTGGCGCCGCGCGCGGGTGACGGCAACGTTGATCCGCCGGTCCTCGGCAAGGAAGCCCACTTCGCCTAGGAACGAGCCAGGGTGAGTGGCAGAGCGGGCCCAAGACGGGGGAACGGAAGACGGACTCTTGCACCCGAGCAGTGAGGATCACCAAGGGGATCACCCAACAGCCCTCCCACCCGCCACCAGCCGCCCCCACACCGCCGCCCCGCAGGCGTCCTACAGCCCGCCCGGGGCCTCCCCACCCGCCTCCACCACACGTGGCCTGCAGGTGGCAGGTACCAAAGCGCCGCTCCTCTCCAAGTACGACCTCCTCCCTCAGCCCAGCCCAGAGAGTGACCGCAGCCGGCAGCGGGGAAAGCGTGAGGGACGCTGCAGCACCTCAGCTCCCTGCCCCCCCCACGCTCTCATCCGTCCTCAGCCCCCACTGAAGGCGCCTTACGAAGCCCAGACAAGCTGCTTCTGGGTACAGCCCCCAAAGGAACGGCCACACACCGCAGCAGTACAAAAGCCAGGCCCTGAGGCTAACTGCACCTTGAGGCCCAAAGCCAAGCTCTGTGCTTCAGGGGCCTCCCCGGCCTGCGCAGGGCGTCCAGGCGGCCCCCAAGGGCGCGCCCGCACCCCCGTGCTGTCAGCCTCTCGCTCTGTCCCCTCCGCCGGGAGCACCGGGCCCCACCCTGCAGCAGCCCAGGGACCACCCCTGCCCCCTGCGGCACTGGCCCCGAGCGGGCTCCGTCAGGGCCCCACTGCCCCCTACTCCCTGCCCGCTCTCTCGCCTGCCTCCAGCCCGACGGCGAGCTCAGAGGCCGCACTCGCACCACCCGGCACAGCCCCTAGCAGAACCGCAGTCTGCCCTCTGTGCCGCCCAGAGGACTCTGCTGAGCCCCACGTACCTTTCCTATTGGATCTGACGAAGGACAGGACCACAGCCTCCTTCTCTCGGCCTTGGAAGCCATCGACGGACTTAATTTCAAGCTCGGGGTGCCTGTGGGCAAGGCTCCGCCTGAGCAGGTCCACCTGGAACACCAAGTAAGGCCGGTCCTCAGCTCAGCTCAGGCCAGGGCAGCCTCGACACTCTGCCCTTGGGACTCAGCAGAGGGCCTCACACCGCAGAACAGCCACGACCACCGCCTGACAGCTCAGTGAACACACAAAGCAGCACCTCAGCAGGTCAGACGTGGCCCCACAGCCCAGCACTGACATCATGTCGTTTCTTCTGGCTCGTGACCAGCCACCTGCCTCGGACGCCCCTTTGGGTGATGGCTGTGAACCAGGAAGGGGTGGCAGCCGATCCACAGACCTCATGATACTTTGCTGCAACTGCGTTTTCCCACCAAGAAAGACAGGCTTTACCGATAAGCACGTGGGCACCGAGAGAGAAAATGCGAGAAACCCCGAAAAGAAAGGAGCAGGTGATGGTTGCTCCCGCTGGCCCAGCCTCCACCCCTCCTCCAGGTAACAGGCAGCACCCCGATCTTCCTTCAAGAAACTGCCCATCCCACGCTCAGCCCAGGAAGCAGAGCCGGCCCTCCTGCCCAGAGATGGGCAGGGACCCTCCTCTGGCCACAGCAACCAGCTCAGAGATGGGGACTTGAGCCAGACTCGTAAGACCAAAGCTGAGACCCTGTGGGAGATGCCGTGAAGGGGCCAGCGGTCCCTGGGGCAGCCCTGTAAGGATGGCGCCAGCCCAAAACAGCCAGGGCCACTCGGCAGCTGTCCAGAAAACGAGGCCAACCGGGGAAGCCAGCTGACATCAGGATGGGGCAGGGGTGTGGCACGGCAAGTACAAGGGATGGACGGACGCAGACACTTGCTGATGTCATGTGAGCCCCGGATCCAGTCGTGAGGTGGTCGATTCCACCCGGAGTTTACAGTCACAGAGACACTAAGTGACCCCCATCATTCAGGCACTTGTGGGTGACTGCGCCCCGACACACAAAGTGGCCCCTCGCACCTGGAGGTTGTATGGCGTAATGATGGCGATGTCACTCGCTTGGACACCAGCGTCCACCAGGGCCTGGATGTGCAGACTGACGAGGCGCACTTCACCTGGAGGGCAGCAAGCAGGCTGTGAGTCCAGGTCACCCCGCACTGATCCCCGTCATTCATGCTAGCTCCTTCAGCCCTCCGCCCAATTCAACAAACACATCTTACACTGCGCCTGGGGTAATGCCCTGAGCCACAGGGTTGCAGATCTAGACAATGAAGACGCAGGCCACGCAGCTGAGCCTCAGTTTACCTCTGCAGTGCTGAGTGTGCGACCCAGCAGGCTGGTACCATGGGTGAGCAAGGATCTCACCGAAGGCTGAGCAGGCAGAGCTGGGCCACCTCCTCCCCCCGAACCAGGGCTGCCCGCTGAGAAGGGCGCTGCGAGTGCTCCCGTCTGGCTCGAACCCCCCAGCTCATCGGGGACGGGCTCCCACCTCCCCTCTTCTCCCCCCTCACTCAGCTCCTCCAAGGTGGGCAACTGCACACACTCTGGTTTCTACAAAGAGGAGCTCAGGGTCTGTGTAAGCCAGGAAGCTGGCCCCGTCCAAGCAAGCTCACCAGGGTTCCCCTTAGACTGGTCATCCTCCTCTTCCAGTTCAAACAGCCCGCAGCCGGCCGTGTCCACAAGCAGCAGGGGGATGCTGGTCTCCTCCGTGGCAGCCACTCCTGGGAGATCCCTGCACACAGAGGAAGCCTGAACTCGTGAGGCCAGGGCAATAAAGCGGAGCTAAGGTCCTAACCACAGAACTCACGTCTCCCGTCACCCCCTTGGGCACGGGCTCTTCCCAGGGGAGAACGGGGCTGCTCCACTGGGAATACAAGGGGCGTGGAGAACATCAGACACTGGGCACCCCAAGTGCAAGAGCAAGGCCCCTCTCCCCTCCTGAAACCAGCCTCAGAGGTGACTTGGACTCTAAATGTCTCCTGAACATGGTTCGGGTGACCCGAGGGACCCAGGGCAGGCCAGGCAGGGCAGAACCGAGTCACTCACCGTAGGAGGTGCCCAGCCACGGAAGGGTGGGCCGTGAGCTGCCCGTGGTACAGGGTGTCCGAGGCCCAGCGCATGATGGCCTCGTGCATGCGGTACTGCACCCTCAGCATCCGCACCACACACGTGCCACGTTCCTGCACCAGGCGCTCCAGCAGGCTCAGCGACAGCCCCGCCAGGGCAGCCCTGCACCAAGACAGCAACCAGAAAGCGGAGCCTGAGCCCCCGAGTCCAGCCTGAAACCAGGGGCCAGGAAAGCAGTGCTCAAGCCTCAGAACCCAACCCCCCACCAAGCTCTGACCTAAAATTAAGGGTGTGGTCACCCCAGAGAAGCCCGTGTCCTCATCCTGGAACCTGCGAACATGCGACCTGACCTGTGTGTGTGAAGTTAAGCTGGGACGATGCGATCACAGGGGTCCTTCTAAGAGGGAGGCAGGAGGGTCAGGGTCGGGGGAGAAGACATGACCAGACGGAGGGTTGAAGACGCTGCCTGCTGGCTTACAGAAGGAGGTGGGGCCCAGGTGAAGGAGTGAGGCGCCTCCAGAAGCTGGAAAAGGCTAAGAAATGAACCCTCCCCCGGAGCCTCCCTGCCAACACCCTGACTTTAACCCACGGAGACAGAGTTTGGACTTCCGACTTCCAAAACCGCAGACAATTAATCTATGCTGTTTAAGTTTGTTCCAGTAGCAACAGCAAACCATCACAGACAAATTACTTAAACTCCAACATACTTCAGCCGCAAGTAACCCACTGCTAATCGTAACTGCAGCTAACGTTCGCTCAGTCTTCACACCTTACCCCTACTGACTCGCTGGATCTTCACAGAGCCTTAGGAGGTCGTGTTGTGCTTCCCACTTCCCCAGGGGGAAAGTCAGACACAGAGGGGGGCGTGACCAGCCCCAAGCCACCCAGCCAGTGAGCTGCGGAGCCTGGAGCTCCTCTTCCCCAGGAAGGCACACCACCTCCTGCCGAGTCGGTGACACTAAAACCGAGGGAAAGTTCCTAATCGTACTTCAGGGGCCCTCGCTCTGTGAGCTCGTAAGACATCATGGTCAACCTCTTCCCATACGGACACCTACCGAAAACAACTCACACCAAAGACACGAGCGAAGCAGCTGCCGGCCCCAGTCCCAACTGAGCGCGGAGAGCTAGCCCTCCTAGCCAGCACGCGTCCCCCAGCAGGGGAGGGGGCGTCCCTGCCCCAAGGGCACAGATCCAAACGCTCTCCACACAAAGGTCTGTGGAGGACAAAGCTCTCTTTCAAGGGCCCCTGGCACCCCGGAACAAGTCGCTGAATAGCACCCACAGAGCTCCGGTCCGGAGGCGTGCATGCACGCCAACTCCCACCCTGGGGAGCAGTTCTCCCACCAGGACAAACTTCCCAAACGTAGCCCCCCATTTCCACCTGGACTGCACCCGCTCTGAGGAACCAGATTCTCTGAGAGATCCTGACCTAATGCCCCTCCGCCTGGGGGCCCCACTCCACTCTGGCGGGGTTCCACCCGACAAGCGCTGGCGTGTCTCCACTTCCGGCCGTTAGAGAACACCAAGGGAGCGTTCCGAGGTCCACCGGGACCTGTCCACACTCACAGCCAAGGAGAGGACCGTCTCAGGCGGCAGCGGAATGAGAAGACAGCCACCTGCGCGGGAAGGCCTGCCCTGCCTCAGGGATGGTGGGCGGCCCCAGGCGAACGGACACAAGGCCAGCCCTGGCCCCTGCTGCATGTGACTCACATCCTAGTTGAGACGGCCAGGGAACAGACAGACTGACACCTGACACGCACCACTGCGCGGGAGGGGGAGGGATGCGTGCTCAGAAATACTGAGAAGCGCTGAGACAGGGTGGTCACGGGGGGCCACGAAGGGGGCTCACCTGAGAGAGTACCGAATGGAGGACGGCAAGGCCACCCTGTGTCCGGGAAGGAGCTGTCCGGACAGGGACAGCAAGGGCAGAGGAGGCCCGTGTGGCCGGAGCAGTGGATGAGGGGAGCAGCAGGAATGAGGTGAGGAGGGGGCTGGGGGCGGCCGCGCTCACTCACAACACTAGGGACCGCCGCTCCATCTACAGCACGTAGGATCGGAGCCTACAGGGTCGCTCCTTGTGGCCTAGGTGGCAGGATGTGCCTAGAGGTCAGGACTCTAAACTCTCCACGCCAGGCCGGAAGCTGATCGACCCAGAGGCCAGTCGGCCCGCCCGCAGAAGCAACTGTCTCTCGGACCCCACCCGGCGGGAATGGGCACATCGACCTGCTGGCCTCGCCAGGGAAACTCCATTCAACTGGCCCAGACTGGGCACGGTGCCAGGTGCTGAGACTACAGAGATGTGCGTGGCGGCTACAACCCCCGAGCTCGGGCACACGCGGCCTGACCCGCCTGACACCTAAACCAGCGCGTGCAATAAAACAGGCAGGAAACGCGCAGAGGAGGGCACGTCAGGGCTTCTGGGCTGCCACGCCCCAGGTCGGACTGAAGGGGTGGCGGGAGAGGGCGGAGAAGGGCACCGCGGGCAGGGCTCTTACTTGTGGGAGACCGTGGTGGGGGGCAGCTGCTTGTGATCGCCAGCCAGGATGCACTTCCTGGCCTTCAGCAGGGGGATCCAGCAGCTGGCTTCCAGGGCCTGGGCGCACTCGTCGATGACCACCACGTCGAAGTGGCCGTCGGGCAGCAGCTTCAGAGGGCCGTCGGAAGAAGCACCTGGTGAAATCGGAACCGTAAGCCTTCACGGAAGGTGCTAGCCGCATCCTAGAGGCTGCGACCACACTGAAAGAGACACCAACAGGCCCGTCGGTTCAGAATCCAGTCTGGCATGAAGACTGTGTAAGAAGTATGCATCTTGGAATAAACACTCAGGAAGAACGTTAAAAACCTCTTGTTCCAGCCCACCTGTGTTTCAGGGTAGGGCAGTATGCTCCTAGGCAAGTGCCACCCCAACATCCCGATCACCAGAATCAATCACCCCTTGGGGCTGGGACCAAGGCCTTGGAAGGGTATCTGATTTCTAAGTATTATTTCCGTACCACCTTCTGAATCTAGAGCTTAATTAATTACCCCGTAAGATGTTCTCTTGGACACGCACAATAATTAACCGAGCACCCATCTGGGGAGGAGGGGAAGAGCCCCCGTGTACTTGACAACACAAAACCATGGCCCCAGCTCCTTCTTGGGACAGCCGTGCCATGGCAAAAGCTCACGTGTGAGCAAGACCCGGGCCCCACGCCAACCCTCATAACCAGCAGTGGGCCCGGGCAGGCCACCCACCCTGAGCCTGTTCCTCATCTACAAACGTGGGCACCACCTGAACCTCACAGGGCCATTACGATGACCAAATCCTAATACGGTACGTACGTACCAACACAGACAAAGTACGAAGGTGCCTGCCACAGGAAGGGAGGTTTTAACATCAAGACTCAGACCTGTGTCTTGATGAACCCCCTGAGGGATGGGGTTTGCAAGGATGGCTGGAGAAGCTGCTGGAGGAGGCAGAACTTGGTGGGTTCAGAGTATGGATGCAACCTCACGGTATAAAGAGAGGCACGTCCAGGAGACCCATTCTAGCTCCCCATCCAACAGGACAGGAGGACTCAAGAGGCCACAAGCTGACCTTGCCGAGTTGCGGGGGAGGCTGCATTGTGATTTCCAGCAAGCACCACATTTAAAGATTTGATCAGGTGGAGAAGGACCTCTGGAAACCCTCTCCCTCCACGAGAGCAACAAGAACACCGGCAGCACTGTCAGAATAAACTTTCTCAGAACTCTAGTAACTAGCTAAAGGCTTGTAGCAACCCAGGGAGTGTTTGTTTTAAAAGATGTGGCTCCTGGGGCGCCTGGGTGGCTGAGTCGGTTAAGCGTCGGCGCGGTTCAGCTCCGGTCATGATCTCAGAGTCCTGGGATCAAGTCCCACATCAGCCTCTCCACTCAGCAAGGGAGTCTGCTTCTCCCTCTCCTTCTGCGCTCTCTCGCTCTCAAATAAATAAAACCTTATGATAATTTTAAAACACCAACAACACAAAAAAGGGGGCTCAATCTGGGCCAGAACACAGAGCTCTGTGGTGTTCCTACAGGAAAGGCCCTGCCTGCGGCCCCGGTTCCGTGGGAGCCTTGGACCCAACGGCCGGCAATCGTGGGAAAAACCCGCAGCGAGGAGGCAGAACTCCCTTGAGGCCCCGCTCCCAGAGAAATGCCATGACTGCGGCTGTCTGCCAGCTCCCCGGAAGATCCACTCTCAGGACTGTACTCTCCTGACTTGGAGCTCACCTGACGCAGCCAGCCCTGCCCTCAGGCGCTTGCCCAAACCGTCAGGGTCTCTGAAGCAACTCGTTGACAGCTGGCGCGAGCAGGAGGTAACCTGCAAGCCTCCAAGGAAGAGTCAGGGAGCGAGATGTCCATGGGGGCTTGGGAGAGCTCCAGCCTGTCCCCGGGGACCCAGTGGGCCACACACACTTGTCAGGCTGTGTGCATGCACGTGCAAGACTCGAGGAGGCCGCAAGCGCTCACGGACGGCTCACCCCGGCTCCGCAACAACAGGAAGTGAGGCCTGGGAGTTGTAAAAAGTGTGCCCCAACACACACGCAGAGCCCCCTCGGCCAAGCCCGGCAGATGCGCTGCTTCCGGAGCAGGAGGCACTCTGTGGGATCCTTCCTGCCCCCTAAGCTGGCAGGCTTCAGAGGCCGCCCGGGGCGACGATACAGGCCTTTCGGAATCAGCTCAGCAAAGTCACTGAACAACAGAACAGTAACAGCAAGCTCCGGGGAGGGAGGAGAACCCAGTTTCCAAATCCCTGATCCAGGAATGAAACCAGTGATGTTGTTACACATGCCACAGATAGTTTTTACAGTCAGGGGAGGATATGCACAACTTTAGACCTGTGCGTGCAATCAGTTAGATTAAATGAACAAATTCCTTGAAGACAGCAGCTTGCTCAAGAAGAGGAAACCTGGGTGCTCGCTTCGGCAGCACATATACTAAAAAAAAGAAGAGGAAACCTGGATATCCCTGTATTAGGTGTCAGTGAAACAAACGGAGTTTGTTGTTGAAAACCTCCTCACAAGGAAAACTCCCTGGTGGATCCTACCCACTGTTGCCGGACAACTCTACACAACCCCCCCGCCCCCCGCCCCCAGCAAACTGCGGAAGGGAGAGCACCTCCCGGCCCCCCTGGGGACCACAGCGGGCACAGACCCGCTCCCCTCACCTGTGTTTGTCGCCAGCACCACGGCTGCTGACAGGAGGCTCTCCAGCATCGCAGCCTCTTCCCTCTCCTTCAGCTCCTTCCTCAACAGCTTGATTTCACTCCAAACACTACTCTTCTCTCTCTTATCCTGGGTCTGCCTGTTCTTCGCCTGTGAAGAAAAGCCAAGAACACATAAATACGTGCACACAACTCTGCAAGAACTTAGCTCTTTCGTGCTCTTGCAGTGCTTCTGTTTATAACCAGCTGGTCCACTTCACGAAGTCTCTCGAGAGGCACTAATGTGTCCAAAACCTGTCTCGAAGGAGCAACAGATCCACACAGGTAAGCAAGCTCCTGGCACCCCCTGCGGCCTTCCAGCGAGCATCACCCGCGCAGGGAGAGGCAGGGGGGCAGAGTCAGGCCCTCGACACGCGCGGCGGATTGAACTGTAACTCAGACGAAACCAGAAATTGGACCCCACCCTATCCTGCACAGTCACCGCACGTGCTCTGGGCAAGAAGGAACACCTGCCATCCCAGGATTTGGGTTCTAGCTGCTTCCAGGTGAGAGGCTACACTTCAGCTGTTAGTCCACACTTGACAAGAGAATAACAAATTTTCTTCAACCTATAAAATGCTTACCTAAGGCCTTTCTGTAATACTAAAAAAGACACCCTTCCTGGGGTGCCTGGGTGGCTCAGTCAAGCGTCTGCCTTCGGCTCAGGTCATGATCCCAGGGTCCTGGGATCGAGCCCCGCATCGGGCTCCCTGCTCGGTGGGAAGCCTGCTTCTCCCTCTCCCACTCCCCCTGCTTGTATTCCCTCTCTCGCTGTGTCTCTCTGTCAAATAAATAAATAAAATTAAAAAAAAAAAAAAAAAAGACACCCTTCCTGTGATTTCTCCTTTGGAGGATGGAGTGTGGCAGGGTTGACCGGAAGGGTCTTCCTGCGCCTCCCTTATGGAGAAGAAGACCCTGAAAAGCACTGAGTCAACGGGAACAAGAAGTGGAGTCATCTACACTTGCGGTGGAGGGAACACTATCCGTGCGCACTTCTACACCCCCTCTACCCTCGAATGACATGCCTCATCCTGTCCCCACCTCTGCTGGGCCCACACTGGCATCTGGAGTGCCACCCCACTACTCCACGCCCATAGGAAGGCTGACTCGCGGCCCCCGCCCTGTGGGGCCAGGACACCGAGGGGCACCACCGTGAGGCCGTGAGGCCAGCTGACAGTGAGCAAACGGGGAGTGTCAATCAGAGAACCACCGAGCTCCAAAGTACCAAACTGCAAGATAAAATACCTCTCCAATCTCCAAGTAACCCATCACCGCTGCCTCTCTCCCACAGGGGGGTGTAAAATGGACCAAAAATTGGGACGAGTTTTTGAATTTTTATTTTCTTGCCAACATTACCTAGCCAACATGACCAGATCTAGGGGACGCTTAGAGAGATGTCTTCTTTAAGATGATCCCTCACCTACTCACGAAACTACTTTGAAAACAGTCGAGTCCCTATTACATGCTGAGTACAAGTTCCTATCAAAAGTAGACAGTCTTTTTTTTCTTAATAAAACCGGGAGAGACCTTTTTTTAATGGGCAGTCCTGATATCTGAAATTCTTTATTTTTTTTAAGTAGGCTCCATGCCCAGTGTGGAGCCCAACGTGGGGCTTAAACCCACAACCCTGAGATCAAAACCTGAGCTGATCAAGAGTCAGATGCTTAACAGACTAAGCCTCCCCGATGCTTGAAATTCTTAAAAAGAACTGGCAGAGATGAAAGAAAACCGAGAGGAACACAGACAGAAGTGACTCCAAGGAAAGACTGCGGATCAGAAACCACGCAGAGTGGTCGCTGGTAGGAGCTACGTACAAAGGCCTGATCGATGTCCTTCCTGATGTCCGCGACAATCTGGGCGCTGTCACTCCGTGCTAACACCGCGTCGAGGGAATGCTGCTGAATGGACTCCAGCAGGCGGGCAGGGTGCCCGAGGCGCAGGACTCTCTGCTTACACCGAGCCAGACGCTCTACCAGATTGTCCACGGCCACGTTAGAGGGAGCACAGCACAGAACCTGCGGAAGCAAAGCTCACATTCGGCGACTTCTTTAGTTAACCACTTCAGTTCACACTAAAACAAAGGGAAAACCTTGAGGATAAAGAAAAGAGGACAGAGTATGCACAAGTGGTCATGTCCGAGCGCAAACCTACAGCTGGAGGAAGGCTGCGCGCAGCCTAGAGGACGCACATTACCGCAGACTCTACAGGAGCTTGGGTCTTAAGAACTCCTAGTCACCAAAGCACCAAAAGTGTTAAATAACTTGCAACTGGGGAAAAAAAGGACCCAAAGATTAAAGCGTGCCCTGAAATTATCAGGACTGGAGCATCCAGCTCATCACCAGTGAAATCACTTTATCACCTGACAAAGTGGAACAAGGGAAAATCTTTCTGATGGGCTCAATCTTGCTCCTAAAACTATTTTCTGTAGTGATTTCAATCAGGAGAGAAAAACCCAAAGCCCCACCATCAGAAGCAGGTGACAGCTGCAGGGGCAGTGGGGCGGAGAGCCCCCCGACACGAGCCTCAGAAGCAGGCTCCACGGCCGTCCCTCCCCACATCCTGAGGGCCTGAGCGGGAACAGGGCTGTGTTCTTTCTCGCCGTTTATGCAAAGAGAAGGCATCCAAGCAAACCCCCAGACCTGCTTCCCGCCAGTGAGTCATCACTTAATCAAGTTTTCAAATGCCTACACCAAGTCACTCGTTTGCAGGAAACTACTGGACAGTTTCGTGGCCAAGCGACAGATCTCCCTTCAGCTCGAAGCAGCGGTTCTGCCCGCAGAGGAGTGGGAGGCTCGGAGCAAGAGCCCTGGAGAGCGAGTCTGCCTGAGTTCAAACCCTGGCCCTGCCACCCACTGCTCCTGACTGGGGCTGTGCCCTCAGCTCCGTGTCCTCTGGAAACGGGGGGCACTGGCAGCCCCCAGCACCCAGGGTTTCTGTGAGGATTACCTGAGTGATGCATGGAGAGCACTCGGAAGGATAACGGTTTCATAAAAAGCACCCAGTAAAATGCTGACCATTATTATTCTAATTCTTACTGTGATCTGACATTCAGAAACAAAGATTTTCTGAAATTTTTCCACATGCTCAGAATCCATGGTGACTCATGTTGACACAGATGGGAATAAAAGACCCTTTCTCAGCCATTAAAAATGTAAGTGAACAGTAACATACAACACTCCGCGTCTCAGAAGATCGGTCACCTGTGGACAGCACACGGGCAGGAGTGTTCCTGACCAGGCTGAGACCCAGCCGAGCGCCTGCGAGCCCAGCACGGGGAGCTCATGCGTGGTGACGGGGCCCACCTTTAACCCCTGCCTCACAGCCTGCAGAACGATCTCGACCACGGTGGTGGTCTTCCCAGTGCCAGGAGGCCCATGGATGATGGCAAGCTCTTTCTGCGACAGCGCGAAGGAGACCGCTTCCTTCTGGGAGGCATCCAGGGAAGTGTTACAGAACGGCGGCGGCTCTGTGGGAGAGGCGACAGGGTCAGGCTCCTGCTCGGTGCCCCCAGTGCTTCCTCCCAGCAGGGGGCACTGACCGAGGGACGTGCCGCCCACGGGGCTCTGGGACCTCCCTGGGAGCCAGCCAGCTGACACAGAATCAACCTGCCTGGGCTTCCAGCGGTTCCTCCCGGGACAGGAAGTGGCAGAGTATGGGCCACAGGCCCAGTGCAGCTGGCTGCCTGTTCCGTGAGCCCGGTCTCCCCGGGACCCAGCCACGCCCACTCACGGACGCGCTCTGGCAGCTACAGCAGCCCACGAAGCCCAAAATATTCACGATCCATCTCCTTATTTAAGAAGTTTGCCAACTCATGCTCCACGACAACAGACCTCTCTCAAGTAAATGTTTCTCGGAATCTATTTATTTCTACTAGGGGCGCCTGGGTGGCTCAGTCGGTTAAGCGTCCGACTCTTGATTTCGGCTCAGGTCATGATCTCAGGGTCGTGAGATCGACGAGCCCACTGTCGGGCTCCACACTCAGCGGGGAGTCTGCTTAGGGTTCTTGCTCCCCCGCCGCCCCTCCCCTCCACGTGCACTCATTCTTTCACTCTCTCAAAAAATAAAAAATAAAAATTATTTATTTCTACCATGTTGCCCCTTTATAAGCGCCATGAAATGACAAAAACAAACGACAAAAAGGAATTAGGAGCAAATTTGGGAATCCTGTTTGTGAACACGGAATCTTCCATGATGAAGACCAGTTATCCGCCTCCTATGCTCTGCGCTCCGTGTCCAGCTCTGCAGGGCGCCTGTGTGAGGAGACGCCCGACCCGTGAGTGAGCAGAACGCCCGGGCACAGCGCCCTGAGCTGGCCTGGCCACTGACACAAAGCTGAAAAGCAGCAGTAGACCGCCTGACCCAAAGCCCCAGCGCACCCCGCTCTCCGCACCGCATCCCTTTTCCTTAGCTACCCACCTAACCACAATTTACCGAGCTCCCTAAAACACAGTAAATAAATTTCTAATTCAGTGTCCGCATAGTAGGCTCTCGATAAATATTTGGCAGAATAAAACACTGAAATGTGAGTGCGTGCAGAACCTGGAGGTACCACCCAGCAGCCCTGTGTTTAAAGCCAACACAACTCTGGGTGGCTGGCACAGGCCCGACATCACGTGGGCACAGGCAGCAGGAGAGACTGAAGGTTCACTGAGGCCGTGCTGGGAAAGTGGCAGAGTCAGACTGTGGAGGATTGGCAAATCACGGCAGCTGCTTGCGGAGACAACATGCTCCCCTCCAAATGGGTTCTTCAAGACCACAGAGGGATAGGAGACAGCGCAAAGACAAGGACGGGGTGCACGTGTGCACACGTAATGCCTGCATGTGAAAGACACGGTGTTCTACACGGAAAAGACTAGAACACACACAAATACTAGGGAGGCTAACTCCAGATGGCAGGTTCTCAAGTGCTCTGTTTCCCTTGCTAACGCTCTTCTTTATTTCCAAGTATTCTACAATTAACACACATTATATTACTCTTCTCATCAGAAATAAGCAATCTTCAATTTGAAGGATGCCAAGAAACAATCAAATATGTTCAGAATTAGGACTTGAAAGGTTTTTTTTGTTTTTGGGGTTTTTAGATTTTACTTATTTATTTGACAGAGAGAGAGAAAGAGAGACACAGCGAGACAGGGAACAGAAGCAGGGGGAGTAGGAGAGGGAGAAGCAGGTTCCCCAGTGGGCAAGGACCCCCCCATGTGGGACTCGATCCCAGGACCCTGGGATCATGACCTGAGCTGAAGACAGTCACTTAACAGAATGAGCCACTCAGGTGTCCCAAATTAGGACTTTTCAAACAAACACAAAAACACTATTAAGCACATATTGTGCTCAGCCATCCTATTTCCACAGATCACCGAGCTAGAACATGCTTACATCTTAAAAGAACATAGATACATTTGAGAAAACGTTGTAAAGTCAACAGAACGAGCTGCTTCCTTGCACTGAGTACGCAAGAGTCCAGTCCACATGAGTCACTCAAAGAAATTTATAAAAGACACGAAAAGAGATGCCTTCTAACTGCACGTCCTCGAACTCTTGCTCAAACACCCTAGGCCCTGCTGTTCTCGGTGTTGCCACAGTGACTTCAATCAGAAAAGAAAACACAAAGGTTCTTACGTATCTCACTTGCAGGACTGGGGGCTGATCCACCAAAGAGGACCTCTATGAGTGAGAATGCGGGGCCAGAATGGTACTTCTTTAGGGTGATCAGAGCCCTGCCAAGGGAGAAAACGAGAATCAGGAGTTTGGTGAAAACCAGACATTGATTCCCTGCCCAAACCCCTGCCCAGCATGGCCACCTGCAGCCGCCGCCTCCCATGAGCAGCCCCCAGTGACTCCACACTCATTGCAACTGCTCTCTTCTGCCCAGCAGGACAAGCGATCGGGGTGAGTGAGTGGTGCTTGAGGAAGAAGAACAAGTGATTCCCAGTCACACCCTTACTTTTTCAGTCGCTTGTAAGTGACATCATTGGCAAGTTTTAACAGTCTGTAGGCCTGCTCCCGGTCCAAGCTCAGCTGGAAGTCGTGGGACTCGTCAAAGGCCACCGTGACCAATCTCTGCGTGATCCGGGTCAGGATCCCCGTGGCCAGCTGACTCCCTTCGTCATACAGACCCACTATATCGCCTGTAGAAACAAAGATTCAAGTTACACAAACACTGTGCAGACTTAAGCTGTGAAGTATTTTATATAATAAATTCCAGCTATCTCAAATATCCTATCTCTATTGCTCTCTTTAGGAATGAAACCAGTAGCAGTAAAAGTTTGTTAACGAACACCTAAATTAATATGAAAATTGACTTGAGATCAACGAACTGTTTAAGGCAAACATGCCAGTCAATAAAACATTTAAAGTACCTACTCGCTCTGTGCCAGGCACTGCTCTAAGCAATGGTCTGATTAAAAACAAGACACAGACGTCTGCACCAAAGGTTTTAGGGAAAGACGAAGCCCAGGAGGAGATGGGAGAGGGACAAAGGCATCATCTTAGAAACAATGTATGGCAAAGCCTCCTCTGAGTGGTGACAGGTAAGCAAGATGGGCCCTGAACAAAGTGGGGGCCGCAAGCACATCTAGGAGAGAACATTCCAGGCAGAACGGGAACATGAGTGAAAGAGGGAGAGAGGTCATTTGCTGCCCACTCAGCACAGATCTCCCCACTTTCCATGGTAATTGTTGGGTGATTCACTCATCCACCAGGTGACCCTGACACCAGGGAAGGAGCACGCAACCTATGCCTGAACCAGTCACTGCGTCCCACGTCCCCGGCCACAGTGACTGTTCAGGGATGAACATGGGACCAAATCTGCCCCTGAGATGCAGTGACACTTTTGCTTGGCACCTGGGAAAAGGCCCTCCGTCTGTCCAGCTGGACCAGAAACCTGAGGGCATGTCAGGGCCAGAACTGCTATCAGGTGTTGCCTGAGAAGGAAGCCAACCCAGAAGATGGCAAAGCCAGGAAATGGAGAGAAGTTAACTTCAAGCAACCTCCCATGAGCCCTGAAGCCAATCTTCTAGTATCACAATCAATGTAGTCCTTCTTGCCCAAGCCCATCTGGCTTGGCTTTTCTAAAAAAAAAATTTTTTTTTTTTAAAGATTTTATTTATTTATTCATGAGAGACAGAGAGAGAGAGAAAGAGAGGCAGAGGGAGAAGCAGGCTCCCAAAGAGCAGGGAGCCCAATGCAGGACTCGATCCCAGGCAGCCGAAGGCAGATGCTTAACCATCTGAGCCACCCAGGTGCCGCTAAAAAAAATTTTTTTAAGATTTTTGTTTGTTTATTCGTCAGAGAGAGAGAGAGAGCACACAAGCAGGGGGAGGGGCAGGCAGAGGGAGAAGTGGGCTCCCTGCTCCGGGACTCAATCCCAGGACCCCAAGATCATGACCTGAGCCGAAGGCAGATGCTTAATCGACTAAGCCACCCAGGCACCTCTGGCTTAGCTTTTCATCATCTGGAACAGAAGACAGTTCTGACCAAAACAGACTCTACTCTGAGATAAAGCCAGAGCTACTCATGTATTTACACCCCCACTCTTCCGTGTTGGAAAGTATATGCCACAGTCAACCAGGCACCAGGCACGCTCTTAAAGCCTGGGCTGTTTTCCTCCAGGCGATGAGTTTCATCTACACCTCGAACCTTTTCTCTAGCTCCTTCCCCAACTTTATAGAGACAAGCAGCAGACGGCAACAATGCTCCTGGGGCAGGGTCCGGTTCTGTGTGCAGGGCCTGCTGTGGGGCTGAGCACAGAGGACTCCATGCCTACTGGGACCTCCCCACCAGCGCCCTGCATAGAACTGACGTTTCTAAGCTGAGCCTTAAAACTGCTCTGCAGAAGAAAAAGCAAGAAGCTCACCTCAATCTGATCAACAGTTGCAGCATATCAGATTTTCCACAGAAATGCCGCTTCCTCTGACTTCCTGTTTATGAACCCCTCATGAATCTCTGGGGTCACACTCCACGATGCTGGCTAACTGAATATACCACTGAATAGGTTTTTACTTTTGGTTTTCAAAACCAATGTCCACGGACATTCGACCCCAACAGCAAAGTGGAAAGAGGCCACTCTAACGCCCCCAGCCCCCATCTACAGAGGGCGGCAGCGATGAGCTCTAGCTCACTCCACAAGAACATGTGAGACCTGACTCCAACCAGCAGCCCTTCATCCCCTCTGTCTCCAAATCCAGTCCAACAACTGTGGGCAAGAGTTTGGGAAATCAGAATAGGAAACCAAAACCCGTCACCACCAAAACAAGGCGGAAACTTTTCTAGAGCAAGTACAGCACAGCCACTCTGCTGTCTCCAGGTCTGAGGGCTCCACCAGACACCCCGGTGTGTGTCTCGGCGGCCTCTTCTCTCCAGCAGGGCTGGCACGAGTGTACCCCGAGCGTGCTGGGCACGAGAAGCTGGGGGAAGACAGAACCATGCACACCGCACCCCGGCGGTCCAAGGCAAATACGAGGACAGTCACATGAGTTTTACCCTTTCTAGGAGCCATGATAAAAAAAATTTAATGGGCTCCTGGGTGGCTCAGTCGGTTAAGCATCTGCCTTCGGCTCAGATCATGATCCCAGGGTTCTGGGATCGGGCTGTGTTGGGCTCCCTGCTCAGCGGAGAGCCTCCTTCTCCCTCTACCCTTCCCCCCTGCTCATGGTCTCTCTCTCTCTGTCAAATAAATAAAATCTTAAAAAAAAAAAATTTTTGAAACAAACAAGTAAATTGATCTTAATAACAACATATTTTAACCCAATACATGACAGATACTATTTCAACATGTATCAGATTTCAAAAAAAAATGACTCTGGAGATAGTCTAAATTTTTTTGTACTGGAGCTTCAGAATCTGGTGCGTCCTGCTCACGGGTCAAGAGCTCCGGGGCCACCTGTGGCTGGTGGCTGCCATGCTGAATACGCAGACCTAGGCTACCAAAAGGCCACATAAGTGGTGAATTTCTAATTAAGGGTTCTTCACTGCCACACTTTATTCTCCAACTAGGCACATACAAGCCAGTCTTCACGAGAGTAAAAGTCACAGTTTGGAGACCAGCGGTATGCAACACATGCCGACGTCGCAAACGCACAGACCCGAAGTAAAGCTGTTGCTGGGAAGCACCGCGGCAGCTGCACATCTCCTGGGCTCAAAGGTGACCAGCAGCCGCCCATACAGCCCAGTCCTCTGGCTGGACACCTGCAGCTTCAGCAAACACACGCCTCGGCTCTGCAGTTCTTTCGGAGAGATGTTTTCCTGCCAAGACCTGGAAGACACCCAACACTGAGTGTTCAATATTTACGCTTTACCAGCTTTTACTTCCACTCATACAAGACGAATGTAAAAGAGAGAGAAAAGCAGACAAAGATCTGTGCACGGGCACTAAATAAAACCCAAAAGGGCTCCACATCTGCCCTGGCATCCTGCTGCTCCCCCACCCCTCCTGCAGGTAGAGCTGGTCTCTTTACCAGCTCTACTCACACTCTGCGCCCTGGTTCTCCCGGGTCACGAAGTCCATCGGTGCCCCCACCAACCGCTCGCCATCGGTACCCGCATGAATCCACTCTGCCTCTCATCCTCACCACCATAACCCTAGTTCAAGCCACACCCCTCATCGTCTGGACCAGACAGAGCTTCCTGCCTCCTAACTGCCTGACCTCAGGGGCTTGCCCTGACCAGCTGCAAGCGGGAGCACCCACGAAATCCACCCTATCCACTCCCCTTTGAAACTTAATAAAGGAAAACCTCACTAAAGTGGAGTGGGGAGGCCAGAAGGGGGAGCTGCACCATCCCCTGTCAGTTACAGACCCCGACAGGACAGAATCCTCAATCAAGCAACAGGGAAAGATGCACATCGCATACCCTACAAGAAATCCACCACCCCTCCAACTCATCCAGTGAGCAAAGGTCATCATCCTGAACTCCTGCCTTTCTGTAACGGACTTCCATTCAAAACAATCCCTCCCACGCCCTCCTTCTCCGTAAAATAAAGGTCCTCTCCTTCATTTGTTGCTCTAACCTAGAGTTTGTGCCACAGCTTTCTTGGCCGGAATTTCAATCTCTGCCATTATGAATAAACCCATCTTGCTAGTAAAATAACTGGCCATTTTATTTTTAAGGTTAACACCCACACCTCCACACCCCCCTGCACTTAACTGCTCAGAGAGCCATCCTCTGCACACAGAATACAACACAAGCTCACCCACAAGGCCCTCCTCAATCTGAGCGCTGCCTGCCTCTCCGTGGGTGCTCACGCTCCTCTGGGTACTGAGCTGAGCGCCTGACAGCAGACCATCTCGTGCTCACCCCAAACCTGTGAAGTGGGAAGTGGCGAGGTGGCTAAAGGTCAGAAATGTAACCTGCAAAGTCCCACAGCCATACCTGGAGCTGGGGTTCTACCCAGGTCGATATGACTGCAAAAGCCCTTAATCTTCTAATCAAAAGCCTCTCACACAAACCCATCCACATTTGCAGTGCAGTGAATCAGACTGCCTAGCCTCCAACCCGACTCCACCTGTGTCACCTTGGGCAAGTTACTGAACTGCTCGGTGTCACGGCCTTCTCACGCACAAAATCAGAGAAACGCTGAGGGTTAAAGAAACGAACATACAGAGAGAGCATTTACAGAACTCTCTAAGTGTTCGCCGTCACTGTTTCGGCTACATGAATATTCACGTCCAGGGAACAAGCAGGGCTCTCTCTAGTGCCCATCTCCCCACACCTCATCCAGGATGACTCCTCCACCCACCTCACTCATTTTTGAGCTTGGCACCACCTGCCCCTGAAGCCAGCCTTAGCCTCGCACTCCCCAGGGGGAGCTGGTCTTCCTCCACACTTGCTCAGCCCTTTCTGAGAGCCCGCACTCGCGCGGACACACAAAGCGTGAGTGCACCTAGCTGAATGGCACCATTTACAAGGACCCAGGCCCAGCCCCTGCCCAGACCCAGGCCCCTGCCTAGGTCCCCTGCCCAGGTCCCTGCCCAGGCCCTGCCCAGGTCCCTTGCCCAGGCCCACCCCCCTGCCCTGATCCCCCCGTCCACCTCTCTGCCCCCGCCCAGGTCCACTGCTGCCCAGGCCCACCTCTGCCCAGGTCCCTTGCCCAGGCCCACCCACCCTGCCCAGGCCCAGGCCCACCCCCCTGCCCTGATCCCCCCCCCCCACCCTGCCCAGGCCCAGGCCCACCCCCCTGCCCTGATCTCCCCGTCCACCTCTCTGCCCCCGCCCAGGTCCACTGCTGCCCAGGCCCACCTCTGCCCAGGTCCCTTGCCCAGGCCCACCCACCCTGCCCAGGCCCAGGCCCACCCCCCTGCCCTGATCCCCCCGTCCACCTCTCTGCCCCCGCCCAGGTCCACTGCTGCCCAGGCCCACCTCTGCCCAGGTCCCTTGCCCAGGCCCACCCCCCTGCCCTGATCCCCCCCACCCACCCTGCCCAGGCCCAGGCCCACCCCCCTGCCCTGATTCCCCCGTCCACCTCTCTGCCCCCGCCCAGGTCCACTGCTGCCCAGGCCCACCTCTGCCCAGGTCCCTTGCCCAGGCCCACCCACCCTGCCCAGGCCCAGGCCCACCCCCCTGCCCTGATCCCCCCGTCCACCTCTCTGCCCCCGCCCAGGTCCACTGCTGCCCAGGCCCACCTCTGCCCAGGTCCCTTGCCCAGGCCCACCCCCCTGCCCTGATCCCCCCCACCCACCCTGCCCAGGCCCAGGCCCACCCCCCTGCCCTGATTCCCCCGTCCACCTCTCTGCCCCCGCCCAGGTCCACTGCTGCCCAGGCCCACCTCTGCCCAGGTCCCTTGCCCAGGCCCACCCACCCTGCCCAGGCCCAGGCCCACCCCCCTGCCCTGATCCCCCCGTCCACCTCTCTGCCCCCGCCCAGGTCCACTGCTGCCCAGGCCCACCTCTGCCCAGGTCTCTTGCCCAGGCCCACCCACCCTGCCCAGGCCCAGGCCCACCCCCCTGCCCTGATCCCCCCCCCCCCACCCTGCCCAGGCCCAGGCCCACCCCCCTGCCCTGATCCCCCCGTCCACCTCTCTGCCCCCGCCCAGGTCCACTGCTGCCCAGGCCCACCTCTGCCCAGGTCCCTTGCCCAGGCCCACCCCCCTGCCCTGATCCCCCCCACCCACCCTGCCCAGGCCCAGGCCCACCCCCCTGCCCTGATTCCCCCGTCCACCTCTCTGCCCCCGCCCAGGTCCACTGCTGCCCAGGCCCACCTCTGCCCAGGTCCCTTGCCCAGGCCCACCCACCCTGCCCAGGCCCAGGCCCACCCCCCTGCCCTGATCCCCCCGTCCACCTCTCTGCCCCCGCCCAGGTCCACTGCTGCCCAGGCCCACCTCTGCCCAGGTCCCTTGCCCAGGCCCACCCACCCTGCCCAGGCCCAGGCCCACCCCCCTGCCCTGATCCCCCCCACCCACCCTGCCCAGGCCCAGGCCCACCCCCCTGCCCTGATCCCCCCGTCCACCTCTCTGCCCCCGCCCAGGTCCACTGCTGCCCAGGCCCACCTCTGCCCAGGTCCCTTGCCCAGGCCCACCCACCCTGCCCAGGCCCAGGCCCACCCCCCTGCCCTGATCCCCCCCACCCACCCTGCCCAGGCCCAGGCCCACCCCCCTGCCCTGATCTCCCCGTCCACCTCTCTGCCCCCGCCCAGGTCCACTGCTGCCCAGGCCCACCTCTGCCCAGGTCCCTTGCCCAGGCCCACCCACCCTGCCCAGGCCCAGGCCCACCCCCCTGCCCTGATCCCCCCGTCCACCTCTCTGCCCCCGCCCAGGTCCACTGCTGCCCAGGCCCACCTCTGCCCAGGTCCCTTGCCCAGGCCCACCCACCCTGCCCAGGCCCAGGCCCACCCCCCTGCCCTGATCCCCCCCACCCACCCTGCCCAGGCCCAGGCCCACCCCCCTGCCCTGATCTCCCCGTCCACCTCTCTGCCCCCGCCCAGGTCCACTGCTGCCCAGGCCCACCTCTGCCCAGGTCCCTTGCCCAGGCCCACCCACCCTGCCCAGGCCCAGGCCCACCCCCCTGCCCTGATCTCCCCGTCCACCTCTCTGCCCCCGCCCAGGTCCACTGCTGCCCAGGCCCACCTCTGCCCAGGTCCCTTGCCCAGGCCCACCCACCCTGCCCAGGCCCAGGCCCACCCCCCTGCCCTGATCCCCCCGTCCACCTCTCTGCCCCCGCCCAGGTCCACTGCTGCCCAGGCCCACCTCTGCCCAGGTCCCTTGCCCAGGCCCACCCACCCTGCCCAGGCCCAGGCCCACCCCCCTGCCCTGATCCCCCCCACCCACCCTGCCCAGGCCCAGGCCCACCCCCCTGCCCTGATCTCCCCGTCCACCTCTCTGCCCCCGCCCAGGTCCACTGCTGCCCAGGCCCACCTCTGCCCAGGTCCCTTGCCCAGGCCCACCCACCCTGCCCAGGCCCAGGCCCACCCCCCTGCCCTGATCTCCCCGTCCACCTCTCTGCCCCCGCCCAGGTCCACTGCTGCCCAGGCCCACCTCTGCCCAGGTCCCTTGCCCAGGCCCACCCCCTGCCCAGGTCCCCTGCTCAGGCCCAAGCCTTCCCCCACCCCTACCCCCGCCCAGGCCCCCCCCACGCCCGCATCCTCGAGCCCTCCCACCGGCCCCGCACCGAAGAAGGGAAAGGGCTGCGGACGCGCTGAGGGAAGAGGCAGGACCTAGGACTGAATGCTCGGGAGTGGGGGGCTCCAGGCCGAAAAGAAAAGGCTTCTTAAGGGCCCCACACCGGCACGGGCCGCCCGGGAGGCGGCAGAGTCCCATCCCCAGCGGCGGCCGAGCAAGCGCCCCAGGGCCGCTGGCGGGACTCGGGGGGCGGGAGGGCTGGGGAACTGCCGACCGACGCCGTACCTGCGCTCCTCGACCTCCGCGGCTCTCTCGAGCTCCAGCAGGTCCAACTGCTTGGTCACGAAGCTCTCCACGGCCGCCGAGGCCATGGCCGCCGCCGGGCCCGGGCCCAGGGCCGCTGAGGTCCTGCCGCCGCGACGGGCGGAGTTCCCGGGCCGGAGCCTGTGCGTCGACGCACAAGGTTCGCGCCGAGGCCGTTTCCGCTTCCGGCCGAAGCTGCGGGAAGATGGCGGCGCCCGTGGCCGCCCGGGTGGTGACGGTCGCCTTCGGGGGGCTGGCGTCCGCGTGCGGCCGCAGCTGCCTGCGAGTGTCCGGGCCCGGAGCGGGTGAGACCCGGGTGGCGGGGTGAGAAGAGGGCGCGGGGCGCGCGGGGCCGTGTCTGCCTCGGTGGCTTCGGTGCCGACCGCTTTTTTCGGGGCGGTGAACGCAGTTCTGGCTTTGCCGTCGGGGAAGCCCGGGTTCGGATCCTGGTTCCTTCAGTTAGCGGCTTCGCTCCTGACACCGGCTCTTCAGCGCGCTGCAGCGCCTGGGCGGCCTGGGGAGCAAACTGAGGCTCGGTTCGGACAACTTAGGTGACTTGCCCAGGGTCACACGCAGGGAAGCGGGTCGAGAGGGACTCCGGCAGCTCGGAACGGCCGCCAGGCTGTGCTCCACCGTCGCTCCCAGGCTTCGAGCCGCCCTTCGGAACCCCCGCTGTCCTCCTCTGGGAAGTGGTGGTGAACGTCCTGGCCACTTCTTAACCCATTCAGGAAAAGCAGCAGCCGTATTTTTATATATTGTTTTATAATTGAGCTATAACTGACATTCCATAAAATCCACCCTTTTGTAGCTGCCTGTTAGCAGGTGTTCCCAATTATTGGTGTCTTGGGCTGGTTTGTCCTCTACTACCTCGCTGTGCCTGGGGTTCAAAAAAGTTGTGTTCGCCGGAGACACTGTGTTTTTGCCTGAAATGATTGGAGTGTGTTGTTTGTGTGTGGGGGTGTTTAAGGACGTTTTAAAATTAAGTCTAATTGTATATTTGACAGCATTAAAGAATCGTTCCCTTTCTAAGATGTGGTAACAGTGCCTATGTTATGTGTGTTTTTTAAGAATATTTGTTTTTCATAGACGTATACTGACATCTTTACTGATTAAACAACGTGTCTGTGACTTACGTAAAAATAATCGCAAAGTTGGGCCGGAGGCAGCGTGAATCAAAAAACGTTGGTCGTGAGCTGTTAACCGTTGAGTCTGGGAACAGCTGCTCGGGGGCTCTGGGCTCACGGTTCTGTCCTCTTTACTTCCTTGTGCTTGACGTTTTCCATTAGTAAAACTTGGATTTAAGTAGGGAGGGACGTTTTAACAAAAGCACTGGAAATTACTCCGTTCTGCCAACATAAAACCACCTCCGGAATGCTGTGTTCAATTCCAGACTCCCACTTTAAGAAACACGGATAACATGGAGTACAGAGAAGGCGACCAAAATGATAAGCGGATGGGACCTTGAAGAGTGAGAGAGGAAAACAGGATGGTAGACAGACCACAGTCCTCAGAGAGCTAAAGGATGACCCCATGGGAGAGGAGGGAGTGCATTTGTTCCTTCTGGGGTCCAGGGCTAAGGCAAGACCATAGCTGAGAGTTACAGGGAAGCAGATCAGGGGCAGAAACTTTCCAACTGAGCCTTTAACAGTGGGGTGGCTCCCAGGAGAGGTGCTGAGTCCCCCGTCAGGGCGTATTTCAACCAGGGCTTCGTGTGCTGACTCAGCAGAGTGGACTTCATTCATTCACCCACCATTTATGGAGCATGTTTTTGCATCAGGAACTGATGGGGGAGGGGTGGAATACATCAGTAATAAATAATCCCTGCTTTTAACGGAGCTAGCATTGTGTGAGATGGGGAAGAGAAGCAGGCATGGCGGGGATCTGGAACCTTCGTAGGTTTTGAGATGCCTGTTAAGACTTGCAAGTGGTGATAGCAAATAGACAACTGGATGGTCACATCCAGGCTGCAGGTGTAAACCTGGGAGTCACCATTGTAGACAGGATATTTAAATTCATTCCACTAGATGCAATCGGCAGAGGAATGATCATAGAGAAAGAAGAGATGAGGCCGAAGGTCTAAACCCCAGGCACAGCGAGGTAGTAGAGGACAAACCAGCCCAAGACACCAATAATTAGGAACACCTGCTAACAGGTAGCTATAAAAGGCTATAAAATTTTATGGAATGTCAATTATAGCTCAATTATTAAAAAAACATGCATCAGTAGATGCAAGAAATAGTTGACAGAATTCCACATCCATTCATAACAAAAACTCTCAGAAAAATAGATACAGAGGAAACTTTTTTTTCATTTAGTAGGCTCCACACCCAACGTGGGGCTCGAGTTCACAACCCCGAGATCAAGGGCCGCATGCTCTACCAACTGAGCCAGCCAGGAGCCCCACAAAGGAATCTTCAGTAACAGGACATCTCCGGAGATAAATGAATAAATAAACCCTTGACAGTTACTGAGTTGCTGTCCTCTGCTTTTCGCTCTTAAACTCTGCATTTGATTACTGGGACCTTCGCTTGGTAGACGGTGATTGCCTTTGTCCCTTGGTGTATTAGTCATCTACTGCTGCACAACAAGTTACCCCAGAGCTTAGCAGCTTAAGATGACCAGCGTTTGTCATGCACAGCATTTACAGGAGCAGCTTAGCTGGGTGGTTCTGGAGCTCTTGTCAGCTGGGGCCGGGCTTTCTGTTTCCAAGCTCACCAGCTAGACCGTGGGCAGAAGGCCTCTGTTCCAGTCTTTTATAACTTAATCTGAGAAGTACTGTGCCCTTCCCTCTACCACATGCCATTGGTCGCAGAAACCAGCTCCGTTGAGGTGGGCTCCGCGGGCCGTCTCAAAAGCACAGAACAGCATCTGAACCCGTTGGGCACTTGGCGGTCAAGGATCGGATCAGTGGGTGAGCGGTTCTGGTTTTAGGCCCTTTTCGACGGCATGAGAACACATCTCGACACACACAAGCAATAACTATAAGCGATGTTGTTCTAGTTTTGTTGACCTTGGTTTTCCCGCAGGTGCGTTGCGATCTGGGGCTCAAATTCGGGCACCAGTGGTAGTACTTGTGCATTTCGCTTTCTGAAGAGCAGTGGCATTTCTTGCCGGTAACGATCACTGTTTCTTGTTCCCTCAGCTTCCCTGGGGTCCGCTTCCCGGAGGTTCGGTTCACAGAGCACTTCAGTTCCACAAGGGTAATATATCAAAACGTGGGTTTGGGTGACTCGTCATTTGTAGGACTATCTTTCTAAAGTCAAACTGGCATATGCGTGGGTTTTCGAGAACATCTAAATTTTCTCTTAATTTCTTGATAGTATTTTTTTAAAACCCTTGACATAAATGTAGATGGAACATAAAGCGTCCAAAGATAAATGTGCTTCTAGGCCTTATGCAGCTGATTTTATTAAGGAAAGCTTGTGGCTCCCAATTAGAAACTTCTAACTGGGAAGATGGAATCACAGGAAGGTTGGATCAGAATTTTTAGGAAGAACTCAAATACCATTTGGAAGAAAAAAATAAGTATCATTTGGAAGAGTTTATTTAGTATTAAAATACACTTACGGCAAAAAAACCTTTTTTTTAAAGATTTTGTTTACTTAAGGGGGGACGAGAAAGAGAGGAGAATCTCAAGCAGACTCCTCACTGAGCGCAGAGTCTGAATGTGGGGCTCACTCACAACCCTGAGATCATGACCTGAGCCGAAATCAAGAGTTAGACACTTAACGGACTGAGCCACCCAGGCGCCCCAGGGGAAAAAAACCTTTAATGTAAACTACAGAAAGTAAATTGGACAAAATCACACCCGCTGGTAGGAATATCCAGGAGCAATAGAGGGTGGCAATTAAGAATTAGGAAGCTCCTGGGTCCTATCCTGGCCCCGCCCCTTGCAGCCCGGGGTCCCTGAGCTTTGTTTCCTCCTCTGCAAGGTGGAAGTGGTGTTAGGATCTCTGTCAGTGGAGTTGTGTGTGCATTCAGTAAATTTCTACATTTAAAGAGCTTAGGACAGCGCCTGGCATACAGGGAGCTGTCCAGAGTATCGGCTGCTCCTGCATCACAGACTCAGAAGTGGGGAGATTCAGGGGGGCTTTTATGTTGCTCAAAAGAGAAGTCAAAAAACAGAATCAGGTTATAGAGAGAGATCCTAAGGGGGAATGTCAGTTACTTTGGCTTATTCTTTCTCTTGCCCACGGAGTGCCGGGTTTCCGGCATCTGTTGTTTTGCGGTCGGCAGCAGGGGACGGCCAGGCCCGGCAAGGAGGCCAGAGCTCCTACGTCGGACCCCACTCCTCCTTGTCCATCAGAGGCCACTGCCTGGCCACAGAGTGGGAGCATGTTTCCGGGTGCTCTGAGAGGAGCACAGCGGTCGAGCTCAGTTTCATTTCCCTGGCCAGTTGACGCCGCAGTGCCCCGAACCCCAGCGCGGAGAGCATTTGTTGTACACGCCCGTGTTGAGCACCTGCTGGCTGCCAGTAGAAGCACAAGGGCCTGGGCCCAGTTGCAGAAGCGGCCGCTCTTCCCCGGTGAGCAGCCCTTTTTCCTCGCCGGAGCTCTGCTGCAGAAAGACTGAGGTCAGGAAAGGTTCCCTCTGTGGCAGCAAACAGCAACAAAAGCTTTAAAACGGTTCTGAATAATTGAACTCGATGTGGGCTCTCCTGAGTTCTCCCCTCTTCGTAGACCTCAGGAATTCGAGGCCAAACGAGATCGGCAAGTGGGAAAGACCCTGCCGCCTTCTGTCGCCCGTGGGCTCCCCTCCCTGCACAGCCGGCTCATCGGCTCCAGGCTGAGCGGGGGGCGGGGCAGATGCCGGGCTGCAGCACAGGACGGGCAGTGACCGCAGTGCCATGGCCCCTGAGCGCTGAGCGCGCCCCCACACTGCCCAGTCCTTCTGGACACACCTCCCTCCTGACCCTGGAGGCAGGTGCTTTTTTTATTCCCATTTGCTCCATGAAAGAAACTGGAGCGCAGGGTCGTGAGATGCTTGCCACAGTCGTGTTACTCTGGTGGCAGAGGTGGGGTTCAGATCCGGGCCTGGCTCCTGTCTGGGCATGAAGGCCGAGTGGGCACCTACCTGGTAGGAGTTAGAGGTCGGGACAGACCGGCTTGGGGCAAAGCAGGGGAAGTGGTCCTGTTGTGGGAGCCCTGCTCGCAGAGCCCTGGAATGCCAGGGTGAGGCACAAGAGCCCGGCGAGAGGCAGAGAACTTGCCTTTGGGTGGGGGGGGGGGGGCAGCACTGCAGCCCACCCCTCTGAGAGCCCATGAGCCCCGAGGACGCTAAGAGGGGCCAGTCTCCTTGGGAGGTAGTTATTCCCAGGAGGGGCTCTTCTGGAATAAAATGGTTGGAATTCCTGTTTTGATTATTGAGTGATTAGTGGGTTTTCTTGAAATACGCGGCCCACCTGAGAGGCTGTGCAGGAGCCCGTCCTTGGCCCCGCCAGGGGGCAGGTCTGTACCCAAGACTCACGCATTGGCAGGGCAGTGACGGCCCCCCAGCCTGAGCACAGCCATTTCTTACAGACTCTGAACTGTCTTCCCACGGGCGCGCCGCACACATGTAAACTGTGTTTTACAGATACGTTCCTAAAACATCGCTGAGTTCACCACCTTGGCCAGAAGCTGTCCTGCCAGACCCCGCTGAGGAGACCAGACACCATGCAGGTGACAGAGGCAGGAACTGGAGGGCGGTGGTCCCTCCTCCCCCCACCGAGGTGGTCCCCTGGCCACAGAACAGGATCTCATGTTTCCACGTGCCCTGAGACCCGGCACAGTGTGAACACTCAGGCTCATTTTTGCCACTTGACGCAAAAATCTAAACCCTCGTTCGTTTCGCAAATGCTCCCAAGCACCCACCGTGGTCAAGGCAGGCGGTGTGAGCGAGCGGGGGGGCCCTTGGTCCATCCCTGTCTCCCTGGTGTTGGTAGGAACGTGGGGGCAGGGAAAGATTTCTCCACAGTCAGAAGAACCGGGGGTGCCGGTGCTGTCCCGGGAGTCGCAGAAATTGTCGGGGTGTCGGGACACGAGGAGGGACAGTGTGGCCGGCCACCGTTGCCATGAGCGAGTGTGGGATCCTATTTCCCTCACAAGGCTGGAGATGCAGGTCAGCGCGGGGCGCAAGATTAACGGCATTCTGCCCCTTCTCCAGCCGCGGCTCCAGCCTGACTCTGCTTCCGAGGCAGGAACTGTGTGCTCCTCTCCAAACCCCCAGCCCCAGGCCGGGCCGGCTGGGTCAGGGCTCGTAGACGCTTGTCAGACAGTGAACGGGGCAGGAGAGGGGACCATCAGCTGAGGTGAGGCCGTGGCAGCCCAGAGCTGTGTGGAAGCCCAGAGGCTTGCAAGTAGTTCTAGCACCAGGGGGTGTAATTCTAGCTTTTCCTGGTTTGCAGAAAGGCCTCTCCTCTCGCTTTGCCAGTCCTCTGGCTTTTTCTCAGTAAAGACTGGGAATCCCACAGGGTGAAGGTCTTTCCACCCCAGAGTCAGAGAGATGGAGCCAGGCACGCGGAGTGCTCAGGCCAGAGAATCACGGGCGGCCATGGGGCATTCCATGAGGTCTGGGGGACACATGTCTCTAGAAGCCCCCCTCGCAGACGAGCCCGTGCTCCTGGGAATGGCAGGCCGAGCGCTGGCCGTGGGGAGGGGCGCGGCCTTCAGCAGCAGGTGACCTCACCAGGGGTGCCATCTGTCACATCACCTGATGTCCCTGCTGCGGCTGGAGCTTCCTGTCCTGCTGAGGGAGAGCAGGGCGCACACGGCCTCGTACCACTGTCGCTGCGGGCCTGGGCCGTGTGGGGCGGCGCGGCTGCCATGCCCGGTGTGAGCAGCGGACTGGCCCGCCGCCTGTTCTGTTTTCTGCCCCGCAGAGGTCGTGGGGAGGGTGAACGAGCTGATTGCCACAGGCCGGTACGGCCGACTCTTCGCTGTGGTGCACTTCGCCAGCCACCAGTGGAAGGTGACCTCTGAGGATCTGATTTTAATTGACAACGAATTAGACGTTGGGTGTGGAGAGAGGATACGGCTGGAGAAGGTGAGACCGGCCGTGCCTGTGCACCTGGGGGCGCAGTCACCAAACATGCCCTCCTGCCCCCGGGTTCATCCCTGGGGAGGCTTTCTTGGGTCGGCGGGCGAAGGCAAGCGAGCCGAGGGTCGGGGAGCGCGGGTGTCCCCCCGGGTGTGGCGGCCCCGCCAGCCGCCCCCCTCCCTCAGGAGACTGCCTCGGAGCTGCTTATGTGTGCTGAGTGGTCTCACGTCTCAGGAACGTTCTCCCGTAGAAAGGAAGAACACCCCAGTCACAGGCGGAGGGCTGTCCGCGTGTTTACGGAGAGAGGGCTTCGGCGGGAGCGCTGCTCTGGCCTTGGCTTTGCTGGCTGCTTTCAGAGAGGCTGGTCTTAGAGGCGTCTCCCTGGGGCTGACGTGCTTACCCGCCATCCTGCACGGCTCGGCTACGTACTTGGCCTCGCGTGTCTACCCATCACTTACGATTCTGTTGGCTGTTGTGGGCGGCCTTCTTCGTTTTTTTCTTACTCTATTTATAAAAGTATATAAAATCTAAGTTTTCAGGGGCGCCTGGGTGGCGCGGTCAGTTGACCGTCCACCTCTTGGTTTCGGCTCAGGTCATGGTCTCAGGGTCGTGGCATCGAGCCCCGCCTCAGGCTCCGAGCTTGACGCAGGGTCTGCTTGGGACTCTCTTTCCCTCGCCCTTCATGCACTCGCTCGAGCGTGCACTCTCTCTCTCTCTCTCTCAAATAAATAAATCCTAAAAGGTATGTCTGTATACGTGTAAGTTTTTTATAATAGTTTTCTATATTCCTCCTTCCTTTGTGATTGCAGAGTTTACACCAAGGGGAGCATTAAACTCTGTTTCTAAGACGTATTCTCACAGCCTGTGGTCTAAGCTCAGAGCTGAGCTAATCAACCGTATCGCCATCAGCAGCCAGCCGTGCTCTTAATGACACGGGGGCTCTGTCGTGAGCCCCTGAGCAAGGGCACATTTGCTCCATAATGTCTGAGATAAGTAGGAGGCTTTAGGAGTGTATCTGAGAAGATTTCTAAAAGACTTTTTTTTTATAAGTTTATTTGCTTTTTTTAGTAATCCCTACACCCAATGTGGGGCTCGAACTCACGACCCCAAGATCAAGAGTCATGCGTTTGCGTTCCACCAACTGAGCCAGCAGGCGCCCCCTAAAAAGACATTGTTTGGAAACATTTCACATTAACGAAAATATTATAGAAAGCACCACCTAATGCAGATTGGTTTTCCTCACTTAGGAAATTCAGTAGCAGAGAAAGTGTCAACCTGAAAGTAACTGTAGGATAGCATTTTGATTATTTGTCATTGTCAAACGTACAGAGTCCATTGATGTTGTTATAAAATGCACTTTGTCTTTAAATATTTAAGTTTTATACAATCGGGTATTTTTTTTTTAAGATTTTATTTTTTATTTGAGAGAGAGAGCACGAGAGGGGGGAGGGTCAGACTCCCCGCTGAGCAGGGAGCCTGATGCGGGGCTCGATCTCAGGACCCTGAGATCATGACCTGAGCCAAAGGCAGACGCTTAACCGACTGAGCCAGCCAGGCATCCCTGGTCAGGTATTTTTCTTATCAGTAAAACTTAAGATGGTCTTCAACGTCTACTAAAAATACCACTGCCCTCGCAATGCAAAGATGTCTTCATTTAAGGCTACGCTTGGCCACGCTGAGGACGGTTTCTGGAACGTCCACATGGAATTTCCTAGGCTTTAAAAAAACACACTTGAGGGCGCCTGGGTGGCTCAGTCGTTAAGCGTCTGCCTTCGGCTTGGGTCATGATCCCAGGGTCCTGGGATCGAGCCCCGCATCGGGCTCTCTGATCAGCAGGAAGCCTGCTTCTCCCTCTCCCTCTCCCCCTACTTGTGTTCCCTCTCTCGCTGTGTCTCTCTCTGTCAAATAAATAAATAAAATCTTAAAAAAAAAAAAAACCGCAATGAGGGGCACCAGGGTGGCTAAGCGTCTGCCTTCGGCTCAGGTCATGATCCCAGGGTCCTGGGATCGAGCCCCGCGTCGGGCTCCCTGTTCGACGGGAAGCCTGCTTCTCCCTCTCCCACTCCCCCTGCTTGTGTTCCTGCTCTCGCTGTCTCTGTCTCTGTCAAATAAATAAATAAAATCTTTAAAAAAAACCACACTTGAACCTATATCTTAGCGGGATTAGCAGTTATGAACTGCCTCAAAAGACACCACAGTGTGATTTTACCCCGTATATGTTATAACTTTCGATAAAAAGTTAAAAAAAAAAAAGCCACCGTTGTTTGCACAGGACAGTTGCCACTGTTCTCTGGATGCACCATCACTGCGCTAAGTGCTCAGGGACAGTGGTCCTGGCTCTGCCGTTGGGCCCGCACAGGAGGAACCCCAGGAGCTGCGGCACCGTAGCCCGGGGCCGGCCTGCATCCCCACCGGTTCGAACCCCAGGAACGGCTAGGAAGGTGGCCGGTGCCTTCCTCATGCTCCAGAGTCTGCGCCGCTGACCGTCCCGTCACTTGTTGGTAACGCGTCTGTTCCGTTCGCAGGTCCTGCTGGTTGGCGCTGACAACTTCACGTTACTTGGCAAGCCGCTCCTTGGGTAAGGCGCTCGCTCACACGGGGCTTTGTCTAGGACCCACGCGGGCTGCATGGGAGGCCAGGCAGAGGACACCTGGGCCAAACCAGTATTAGTAATAATTCTGTTACTAATTATTACAGTGGAGGCTTGTAAGATTTGTTGACAGACTACCCTGTTCTTTTTTTCTGTTTTTAAGTAAACACTACCCCCCACATGGGGCTTGAACTCACAACCCCAAGATCAAGAGTTGTGTGCTCTTCCAACTGAGACAGCCAGGTGCCCCTGTGCTGTTCTTTTTTATTATTAAATTACAGTTCACATACAATATCATATCCATTCTCTGTACCTTACCAAGTGCAGACCTCCATAGGCCTAGTTACCCTCTGTCACCTCCCAAAGTGATTACAGTCTTATCGACCAGACTCCCTGTGTGAAGTCACTTCATTACTAGAAGTTCACACCCCTTGATCCCCGTCCCCCCAGCCTTCTCCCCTTCCTTCTACACTGTTCTTGATCATGCTTGTTGATGGTTTTCAAAATATCTGCAGGGAGGGGCGCCTGGGTGGCTCAGTCGTTAAGCGTCTGCCTTCAGCTCAGGTCATGGTCCCAGGGTCCTGGGATCGAGTCCCGCATCAGGCTCCCTACTCAGCGGGAAGCCTGCTTCTCCCTCTCCCACTCCCCCTGCTTGTGTTCCCTCTCTCGCTGTGCTCACTCTGTCAAATAAATAAAATCTTTAAAATATATATATATATATATCTGCAGGGAGGACATACTACTTTTATAATCAGCAAAAAAGAAAGTAAAACTTTGTTTGGAAATTCTTACATAAAGCATTAGTAAGATTGAAAAATAAGAAGGTATATCATTGATTATCTTTCTCCCTTCTAGAAAAGATCTCGTTCGGGTAGAAGCCACAGTCATTGAAAAGACAGAATCATGGCCAAAAATCAATATGAGATTTCAGAAAAGGAAAAACTACAAGAGGAAAAAAGGTAAGTTAGAGAAAGTGTGGCAGGCGCCGTGTCCCCGCCCTGCTTCATCCGCTGGTCCTGCGGCTGCTGGGGGCCTGGGGCCGCTGGGGTGCAGGGGCCACAGACACCTGGGAGAGGGCTCTGCTCCGGTCCCCTGGGTCTGATGGGGAGGGGCAGATGGAGGTCACTCTTAACCAGGCCAAGGGTGCGGAGGGAGAGGGCCCCGGGAGCCTCCGGTGCTGCCCCCGGGCTGCGGCTCAGCCGGTCACTGCGGCAAGGCAGACATTCGCCTTCACTGCAAGCCGCCACAGCGTGCCCCAGGAGACACAGAGGGGGACACCAGAGGCGGCTCTCACATCCCGCACAAAGACTGGACAAAGAAAGGGACGTGGTGTGGGGTCCTCTCAGCAGAACGTCGCTCAGCAGCACGTGCTAAGTGAACTGCCCCTCTACACGGGAACGGGAACGAATCTTCGATTCTAGTGGGGCCTGAGCAACACCCGACCTTGTGCCTCTGGGTACATATGTCCGTCCGCACACATTTACACGCATGCGTGTGTGATGGAACATGGGAAGGGGAGGAGAGGGAGCCCGTCTGCAAAGTCTCCGGGGGAGCAGGGAGGCTGGAGGACCGGGGGGCTGTTGGTTGATAGAGAAGGCCGAAAATCAATATGAGATTTCAAAGGGGGAGCCAGGGGTGCCTGAGGGGGGCAGGATGAGGAGTGTGGGCTTCGGCGCGCCGGCGATAGGATGCCTCAGACAGGAGGGCCTCCTCCCAGCTCGGTCAGGGCGAAGGGCCAGGCAGCAGTGTGGCTTGGTGATGAAGTGAGCGTCCATGTGCTGGCCTCGCTGCTGGGCAGGAAGTCCAGGGGTCTGCTGGGGACCGCGCGGGGGTCGGTTTGCAGGTGGGAAGGGGTGGAGGTGGGGTCAGGAGTCAGAGAGGCGAAGAAACAAAGCCTGCCGTGGACGAGAGGGAGCTGCATGACGTGGTTCTGGCGGCAAGGTGGGCGCGGACCAGGGGCAGCGACCACCCGAGCCGCATGGGGAGGGGGTGGCCCCGGCGTGGTCTCAGGAGACCCGGAGTGGAGCTGCAGGAGCAGCAGTGAGTCTGAGGGGCGACTTCACAGCAGAGGCCTCACCCGTGGGTGCCCCCGTGGGGGCTCATGACCCGTGCGTGAGGGAGCAGAGGGGCCCTGGGGGGGGCTCAGCAGCCAGTTAGCAGGAAGAGGAAAAGAAGCTTCGTTCGGTGGCGCTTTGGTGCCCGCTGCAGGGGTGTCACAGAAGGGTGTGGTGCGAGGGGTCGGGAAGGTGAGGGCATTTCCTGGGTAAGGGCAGGAGCCCTGGGTTTCCCTGACCAGCCTCCTGGGGTAGCGGCGGGCTCCGCACATCCAGGATGGAGGGCCTCGGGGCACATGGGGTCACAGGAGGCCCCCATCAGCTATCACTGCCCGCTTTCTGCCCTTCCACCGTGGAGGGGCGCCCAGCCCAGGCCTGGCCTGCGCTCTCTCCACTCTTCTTGTCCCCCACATGTTACCCTTCTTTGTTCTAATCCTCGGCCCCCCACCTCTGCCCGGGTAATCCACGAGCAGGAACAGGACCATCCCTGCAGGAGCCTCCCCTGGAAGTCACCTTGTGGGGGCTCCTTAAGGCTGGGACCCGCAGGCTGGGGCATCCTGTCTTGGGAAACATGTAGCACGCACAGTCCCTGGTCACCACCGTAACTGCTACCCTGAACTGCCAGTGGTGCCGAGTTATTAAAATACCCCAACACAGGCGCCTGGGTGGCTCAGTCGTTAAGCGTCTGCCTTCGGCTCAGGTCATGATCCCAGGGTCCTGGGATTGAGCCCCGCTCAGGCTCCCTGCTTGGCGGGAAGCCTGCTTCTCCCTCTGCCACTCCCCCTGCTTGTGTTCCTTCTCTCGCTGTGTCTCTCTCTGTCAAATAAATAAATAAAATCTTCAAAAAAAATAAATATAAAATAAAATACTCCGACACAGTAGGCTGGCTTTCCCTCAGGTCAGGTCCATAGGAGCCTCTCTGCCACCCTGTGCCACCTCCACGCAGCCTCGGGTTCGGCCATTCGGGGCCGTCCACCCCCAAGCAGCCCACAGGTCTCACGGCACACGGGGGGAAGAAGGGCCAGGCCAGGCCGCTCCTGACCTCCGAGCCCCCGGGAGTTACAGCCGCTGCTGCTTCTGCCGGGGCTCACAGAGCGCGAGGGGGAGGCAGGCCGGCCCCCCATGAAGCCCTCATGGTACGGGGCCGGCAGGGCCCTCCACCTGGGGAGCGCTGGTGCCAGGCGGACTCCCCGTGGAAAGAGCAGGTCGTCCGGGGACAGGGTCTCACCGTAGCCCGTGAACATCAGATGTGGCCAAGCTGTGACACTGTTCTCTCTCTTCCAGTTATTGTGACCCCACAGACTGTCCTCCGGGTAAACACCATCGAGATCGCTCCACGTTTGTGCTGATTGTGAAGCTCATGTTTACAGTATATAAAAATAAACTGTCTTCTGGAGGCCGTGTTTCTGAGTTATGATATAAAAAGCTTTGCGTTCCGTGACAGATTGTTCTAACTTGAGCACCATGTCTGTGAGCTTAGTTTTGTCAGCAAAAGCCTCCCTGAGCCAGAGAAGCCTGGAATTTGGGAAGAATGACAAGCACGGCCGTCCCAAGCTGCAGACTGGAGGCTTGTTGAGGAGATAAGGTTGTGTTCTTGGCTGCCCTCCACCCCACCGAAGGCGGCAGGGCCCAAGGGCATGGTGTGGGGGCGCAGCTGGGACCCGGGAGCTAACGCCAAGAGAGACACGATCTGGATTCTGCTTCTGGCAAGGTGGACAAAGCCTGAGCAAACCCCCTCTCTTGAGTGTACCTGTTGCTAGTGATTTGCTCATTTAAGGAGCTGGGATTCAAACCAGTCTGGGCCCAGAGTCCTTACTCTTGCCCTTTGCTCTTGGTCCAGCAGGGAAGGAGGGTCGCGGTGCAGGGGCTGGTGCTGTGACCACAGGCAGCACAGGCAGGACGGGGAAGGATGGGCAGCGGGGGGGCAGCGGGGGTGGAGAGCCGGGGCTGCGTGATGTTCGGGGAACTGGGTGTGAAGGGACAGTAGCAGAGACAGCAGAGGCATTGTGGAGTGGATCCTAAAGGCGGCCACCTGTCCCGGGAGGCTTTGGGGCTGCCCAGATCTGTGTGGGGTCAGGCAGGCAAGGAGGGACAACAGGTCCTGAGCCCTGAGGTCAGGGAACGGGGGAGTGGGTTGGGCACGAGGGGCTCTCTGACTGCAAGGCCCTCCGAGCTGTGTCATTCCCAGAGGTAGGGCCTTCCTCCCAGAGAATAGTTAGGGCTTGTGAGCCGCACAGCAAAACCTGTGGAACCGTAGTGCATGCTTTCTTCTGCAGGAGTCCTGGGAGAGTCGCGTGGGGTGTCGTGGGGTCGGCCCTGCCTTGTGGAAATGAAGACAGTGGAGCGGGCGGCCCCTGGAGACACTCCCCCTGCAGTGCCCTCCGTGGACGGCAGGGGGCGCAGTCCCACAGGACGAGGACACCCGAGTGGGCTGTGACGCGGGGGTGTGAGGGGTGGTGGGACCCAGTCTGGGAACGTGGAGTGCTCTCCCCTAAGGCCACGCCACGAACTTCTGCGGACATCCCTTGTGCTGACAGGAATCACCTTCCATGTTCTCTGCCTTTGGCACATCCATATGCTGGAAACATCCAGTAGGTTCTGGAAAGCCTGCTCAGGCCAGCAGTACAGCTCTGGGCCGTGAGGTGGTTCTGGAGCCACAGACGTGGGTGTGAACCCCAGACCCGTGCACCCTGGGCCTCGACTGCCTCCCCTGTCAAATGGGGGAGATCCCAGTACCCGCTTCCCTAGACCGCCGTGAGGACTCCGGTGATGTGCTGGGTCACTATTCACCATGCATATTACCCATAAAGAGGCAGAACCTCTGCTCTGGGGAACTGGGTGATGTGCCTTCAGGGTTGAGCTTGTGAACATTTACTGCTTTTAAAAAATGGACTAGGCTTGGGGCACCTGGGTGGCTTAGTTAAGCATCCGGACTCTTGATTTGGGCTCAGGTCATGATCTCAGGGTCATGGATTTGAGCCCCATGTTGGGCTCCACGCTCGCTGGGGAGTCTGCTTGTTCCTCGCCCTCTGTTCCCCCGACTCCTGTGCTCGCTCGCTCACTCTGTCGCACGTGCACGCTCTCTCAAATAGTCTTTTTTTCATTCTTTTTTTTTTTATTAAAGATTTGATTCATTTGAGACACAGAGATACAGAGAGAGAGAGCATGAGCAGGGAGAGAGACGGAGAGGGAAGCAGGCTCCCCGCCAAGCCAGGAGCCCGACGTGGAGCTCGATCTCAGGACCCTGGGATCATGGCCTGAGCCGAAGGCAGACGCTTAACCATCTGAGCCCCCCAGGCGCCCCTCAAATAAATAAAGTCTTTAAAAAAGAAACCTGGGGGCGCCTGGGGGGCTCAGATGGTTAAGCGTCTGCCTTCGGCTCAGGTCATGATCTCAGGGTCCTGGAATCAAGTCCCGCATCGGGTTCCCTGCTCAGCGGGAAGCCTGCTTCTCCCTCTCCCTCTGCCACTCCCTCTGCTTGTGCTTTTCTATCTCTCTGTCAAATAAATAAATAAAATCTTTAAAAAAAAAAAGAAAAGAAAAAGAAACCTGGACTAGGCTTTTTCACAATAGCCAAAATGCAGAAAGAACTCAATGTCAGCAGGTGGGTGGAGAAATGTAGGTGGCCCTTTGTTCAGTGGGATGTCGTTCAGCCTCGAAGATGATGAAACCCCAAGCGGCCTCCGCCTGAATGAACCGTGAGCACGTGACCCTGAGTGAAAGAAGTCGGTTGCAAAAGGACACGTATTGTGTGATTGCACTTGTGTGAAATACCTAGAATTTGCAAATCCACAGAGAAAGTAGGAGAGAGGTCCCTAGGGGAGGCAAGCACTGGGGAAGAGGTAGCTATTGCTTGATGTTGGAGGTCATGGAAAAGTGTGCATGTAGATGGGGTGATGGTAGCACAACATTGGGAATATCATTAATGCCACTGGGTTGTCACTTAAAAATGGTTAGGATGAGGGGTGCCCAGGTGGCTCAGTCAGTTGAGTGGCCGACTCTTGGTTTCGGCTCAGGTCCTGATCTCAGGGTTGTGGGATCGAGTCCCATGTCGGGCTTCATGCTCAGCACACAGAGTCTCCTTGAGATTCTCTCTCTCCCTCTCCCTCTTTCCCTCCCTCTCCCCACCTCTTTTTCTCTCTCTCTCCCAAAAAAATGGTTAAGGTAGTAAATTCTATGTGAGGTCGATTATACCACAATAAAAAAAAGGAGGGGGGAACTGGATTAGGTTAATGACATCACTTGACTTAAAAAAGAAAAATGACCCACATCTGTATTTTTGCAGAGTATGAACGTCGGCTCTTCCCGACACAGCTGCGCTGTTCTGGCAGCAGATGGCGGACACGCGGCCCAGGCTTGGCAGGACGCTCTGGCCTGCACCCCTGCTTTGTCCACATCCTGCTGCCTCCCACCTCCTCCAGGCCAGCTTCCTGTCCTCTTTTCCACGGGGACACCTTGCTGTTCCAGTAATAGCGTGGACTTCACCCAGGGCCTCCAAGCCCCTGCCTGCCTCACCTCCTGTTAACCCAGCCCCCCTGCACAGCGGCACCCACCTTGGCCTGGCCCTCTCTGAGCACTGCCCCTCGACCTGGCGCCCCAGGGTGCCCCCCTGGCCTGCAGAGCTCGCTCACCCTCTCCAGGCCACTGCGAGACCTCCCGGCTGATCCCAGCAGGTCCCGGGAGCGCAGGGGGTGGGGTGTTAGGCATTGTAAGGGGAGCATGGCAAATGGACCGTGGGAGGCAGGCCAGCCCAGGGGTTAGGCACAGGGCTAGGAGTCCCCTCCGTCACTGACCCGCATGCCTGGCTGCTATGGATCTGAGTCGCCAGCTCGGATGGGGCTGCCGGGCCATCCCATGTCAGGAGGACCCTTCCCCGGGTCACTGTCTGCTCCTTGCCTTCTTCCTGGGGTCAGCACATGCGTATTTATTTGTCCCAGGTTTCTGGCTGGGCTCCCTCCCTCACTGGACAGCCAGCCCCAAGACGAGGGTGAAATTCTGTTCGGCTCACTGGCAAGGCTGGTGACCTGGGGGTTTTGTGGAAGACTTCGAGTCCAGTGTCTACCGGAAGCAGGGTCAGACAAAGCTCTAGAAGCATCAAAGGTGTAAATTGTGCAGGTGGGTACTCAGCGATGGAGGGCTGCTCCCTCCGTTTGCATGTGGCTCCCGGGAGCCCCCAGGAAGTGTGGCTGCCACACTGACCTTTCCTCCCGACATCGCCACTCCCCGGGCCGAGGGCCACTTCCGCGGAGGGACACATCGTCACCTGGCTCTAGGAGAGCATTGCCCCACCTGGAAGGCTGGGTACACTTTGACCCGCTTCCTGTGCTGCGACACTGTGGGGACTGGAGACGCCTAATGTCCCCTAAACGCGCCGCCTGGGTTTCTTCTCTCTGCTCCCGCGGAAGGCGGCCGGGAGACGCGGCGCCCCCTTCTCCGCCCACCCGAGGGTTCGAGGCTCCATGTGCGGGACAGAATGGCGAGGTGGGGGTCTTGCCCTGCCCCCCGGGCCCCTCACCAAACTTCAGGGCCAGCAGAGCCCAGATTGTCTCCAGAGTGATCTCTGAGGGACAGAGCACGTCATCAAGGATCATTTTTATTTTATTTTTAATTAACATATAATGTATTACTGGTTTCAGAGGTAGAGGTCAGTGATTCATCAGTCTTCTATCACACCCAGTGCTCATGACAGCACGTGTCCTCTCTCATGCCCGTCACCCAGTGACCCCAGCCCCCCACCCCCGTCCAGTCCAGCAGCCCTCAGTGTGTTTCCTATGGCTAAGAGTCTCTTATGGCTTGTCTCCCTCCCAGTTTCATCTTGTTTTATTTTTTCCTCTTTTCCCCCGTGATCGTACTCTGTTTTGTTTCTTAAATTCCGCATATGAGTGAGATCATATGATAACTGTCTTTTCGAGGGGGGTTCCTGAGTCGTTCAGAGCAGAGAGCCTGTCGGCCGGAGAAGTCGGCCTCCGAGCCCCGAGTGAGCTCAGGAGACTCCTTGGTGTCCTGTCTGTGACAGGGGGACAGGCACGGTGCCCGCCTGGCCTCGTGCCTGTGCCTGTGCAGGGGGGAGACATCGTCACTGTCACGGCGGTGGCTAACTGCGGGTGCACACGGTGCGCCCAGTGTCGGGCCTTCCAGAAAAGTTCTCCCGGGATGCTGCGGTGCACGCAAATGGGAGCTCCTGACGTGCCTGCCCCTTCGAGGGAAGACTGTACGGAATTGTCGAGCCCAGACTTTGAGAAGAAACTGGCATTTCCACTAGTAAGGAATGTTTTCCTTGAGAAAACCTTCTAAGTCTCTGAAGGCACCAAAGGGAACCTGTTCTCTTGAACAGCCTGAGGCTGAACCTGGGAGCCAAGTGTGTCTTCTGATGGTCCCCCCTTCTGCAAACACCCC